TGCTCTGTCCTCTGCTGCTCGCCTAGTCGCCTGCTCCAGTGCCTAGTCGCTGACTTGTTGTCTTGCTGAGTGTTGGGCATGGCCCTGCTGCAGTGCTGCTCCGCCTGCTCCGTTGCCGCCTCAATCATTCAGCGCCTGCCGCCTCCGCCTAGCAAGGTAGGTAATCATCAATTGATTCTTTTTTTTTTGTGAATTTTTGATCAAATTTGCATTACTTGTCTCTTAAAATTAGTATATATGGTGAATGTTCATTGAATTTGCATTATTTGTGTAAATTGTGTTTTGACTGTTAAATTGAACTTATTAGTTTATCTGTTTATGTCATTATGTGAAATTATGAATATGTGATGTTGGACATTGTATAAGACAGCAATTAAACTATTAGTGTAAGGAGGATTATAAATTTATAATTAGATTACAGTGTGGACTGGTTAGTGCTTAGTGGTGCTAGTCGCATATTCGACTGGAAGTTCCGTATAGACTAGTGGAGATATTAGTTTGTTGATTTTAGTCTTGTCAATTTTAAGCTTGTTAATTATTAGTTAGTATTGTAATCTTGTCAATTTTCTATTTGGATGATCTTTGTAAATAATTTTTCTGGGGAATATTGCTTGATTTAGTTGAATATTGCTTGATTTAGTTGAATATGAACCGTCCAACCAATTATGAATAGGGGTAATTCGTTGTTGGGGTTATTTGCATATGATTCATACTTGTGATTTCATTTGTTTTGTTAACTTTGTGTTTGATTAGGTTGTTGAATTTATATGCAGGGAAGACTCAGCTTATCAATCATTTTCTGATCAACAAGAGTTGGTATATTGTTAATTTTCCTGAATATGGGTGAGTCTCTGTAATTTTGGTTTTAATTTGGGCAATTTCTGTAATTCTTGAGTCTATTTCATGCTGGGAATATTGTATACTTGTATTGTGAATCAATTGTTATTCGTGTTTATTCCTGATCATATGCTTGAATCATATTGAAGTACCAAAAAAAAGGATTGCTTTTACGCCTTGAGGCATTGCTTCAAAATTATTGATCATCCTGTAAAACATGTTGCGGACTGATATGTATTTAGGCTACATCCGTTGTAGTTAATTTGGTCTCCAATCGTGTTGTTTATTTTCAAGTTTAGGAAGTAAATGTCTCCTTACATGTCATGTGAAATTTTTTTTTACATATTTGATTATCGATTGTGACTCACCAGTCGGAAATTCCTGGGTCCGCCACTGTTTGTGTATGCGTAGTATCATGCTAGGATTTGTAAAGTATGATTTAAGTGATGAATTAGTAGCATGTTTGGTTGATTATATGCTTGGAATTGATGTTGCTTGAGCATGATTTGTTATGCAAGCATGTGAATATATTATTGAGGCATGATACAAGTTGAGTATGTATGAATCATGGAAGTATGTTTTATTTTCAAGTATCAAGAAAGCATGTATTTAATAAGCAAGACTTATATATGAGTTAAAGAGCTAAAGTTAGAATTATTGAGCATGATTCACGAATTTATTTCTCACCCATTTATTATTGGTGTTGAGTCAAGAGGTTAGTTTATTTATTTATTCACTCAAGTAAGTTGAGTTTAAGTCAAGGAAGTTTAACAGTGCATCTTATGCACCAAGGTAGTAATCGTGCAATTTTGTGCACAAAACTAGGCAACGAACCTTAATTAAAATAAATAGTATGTGCTCACTAATTAATTTAAGAATGAATTGGAAGTATGTATTGATTGTTATTATGTTTGTTCTTGATTGATTGGTTTGAGTCATCACATGTTAAATTGGTAAATCACGTAAAGTGTAAGAGGATACACACCAAAACTCTTGGAACGTATACACCTTGAGTATGAGCATATAGGGGGAGTTATGGGGTTTTATATTTAACCAGAACTTCTACAGGGATACTGATACATGATGATGTACTTTCTTTTATTATTAATGTGCTGGAATTCCGTCAGAAAGTGACATAATAGGTGCCAATTGGGGTAGCTCCCTGATTGGAAGCTCAATATTTAAATGGGATGTTTTCAAGGAAGGAAACCCGTTCGATGCGTAATCCAAAATTATTATTATTATAATTAATATTGCTAGTTATGAGTCAAAGGTAAGTTGACTTGTGGTTGTGTGGCGAGCATGTTTTAAATATTATTTTTATTTTGATGTTAGGATATTCATGTTAGTGTGGTGCATATGTACTCAGCTTTGATGATTCATACTTTTGTGTTTGTGTTTGGCTTTCCTTTGGATTGGCCCTACTACGACCCATTTTTATGGTGAGTAGAGAGTTGAAATAAAGAGGAAGTAACAGGTACTAGAAGCATGAAGAACATGATGGGATAGAGTGCAGAGAGTTACTTGTTATGTTTCTTAGTTTTAATATTTTTGAATTATTGGTTATTGTTTATGGACTAACAGAATATATTATGTTTGTTTTTAATTGTTTTAAGAAGGGCCATGTTTGAATTGGTTCCAACTTGTGAATGTTTTATTTTACTTTTGTGGTTGTGAGCTCAAGTTTTATTTTTAAAAGTTGGTTTTTATGTTTTAGACTTCCGTTGTGAGACTTTGAAAACTAGCCTTAGTCGTTATCACGGTGACGGTAATATTTTGGTTATTTCCTAAAAAGGGTTTTATTTAGAGTAAAAGGAGTATTTTTAAGGAAGGAAATTTCTAGTGTAATACATTGCCCCACCACCACCAGCCCTTCTACCTCCTACCCCACTCCGACGCCGACCACAGTCTCTCCCTCCGGCACCAGGCCTTCCCAACGCCGGCGAACATCACCCTAGCGACCCCACTCTTCACTAGCGACCCCGCTCTCCTCCCCCAAACTTTCTCCTCTTGTACGAAGGCCACGAACCCAGCCACCCCCTCGTTCCGGCGCCGGCACAACCCCTACCTAGCTCATTCCTGTAACACCCCAATAATTCTCTCTAAAAGAAAACCTGTGATAACCTGTAAAGCCTGTATAACCTGTAAAAGAATTATTGGAGTGCTACCGCCACGTGTTCAAACGTTAAGGCTAGTTTCAGAAATCAACAGCGGAAAACTAACTTAGTTTTAAAAAGAATATAAGTTTCAAAACTAGAAGTCAAAACTCAAAGTCTTACAAGTTGGAACCATAACGACCCTTATTCAAAATCCAGTAAAATAGGAAGTAATGGAACCAACACCAAAATAAAATTCAATCTGTGTTATGAAATAAGCTAACTGGTTAACCAACTTTCCACTCAAATCCCATCACCCTGATGCAAGACAGTTTATGCAAAAACCTGTGATGAATCTGCTCCCCAATATTACAAGTGTAATAATTGGATCATTACAGGGTCATTGAAGGCGAAGGCCATGACCAAAGAAAGACACACAAGAGCACGCAGTAAGCAACGCTGAGCACATACAAGTTACGAAATATAATAAAGAGTTCTAGCATGATACTAACAAGCATTCCATACACTCACAATATTATCATTGACTCGAACACGACTCCATAGTTACTCATTACTAAATTTTTGTTTAAATAACATTGAACATCTCATTAATTGATTGGATTAAGCAATAGACCGGGTTGTCCCCCTGTGCTCCATTCCGGAACATTAAATAAGAAAACCCTATGCCTCCTTTCGGAAGACATTAATAAACATCCAATGGCAGACGGGCGCGACTCCGTGGCCATAGCTAGCATGAGATCTCATCTAACTCATTATAATTTTAAAAGAATTTAGAACAAGAGACTCGTAGATCAGACGACCTCTGAAAAGTGCACGGCTAATACCCCGTGAACCCCAACCCATGTTTGTCATTACTCTAGATGTGCACAAATCCAGAGTTTTATTGCTCATCCTTCTTGCACTTTACGTGATTTACCAGTTTAGATTAGGTGATGACTCGCATGCAATCAACACAACCAATCATACATCAATCATACAAATCATTCAAGTTTCCAATTCAATTCTTAATTTATTAGTGACAAACAACATGCATTATTGCATCCTTTAACTACCTCGGTGTATAAACACCTTAAGGTCACTTTAAGGTTAGAAGTTACCCTCTACGAAGTCCTCTCCTAGACAGAACAACAACAGCTCAATTAATACCCAAGCAACATATATTACAGCAATACTAAACTATTTTAAAATCGCTTAAATCATTGAAATAATGTCTTTAAGTTGCTCACAATAGCCAAAGCTAGTAATTCAAAGTTCAATTACAAGCTTGTATATTAAAATCATGAAAATATGGCTTGTAGCATGAAATTTCAGCAACTCTAAAGTGGAATTATAATCTAAAGAATTAGTTTAAAGTTATAAAACAACCGCATAAACATTTTCATTCGAAATCATCATTATATAGTACGTTAGTATGTTGAGAACTTGAAAACCCATCATAAAACCATGACTTAAAGCTATTTAAAGTTAAGATTAAAATCTGAAATTTTAGTTTAATAGTAGAATATAGGACTACAACAATCTAAACTTGAAATATATAATTATAATTTAATTAGTTTCATGAAAACTCAATTAAACCTTCGATAAAAATCAAAAACTGCACGAAAACCATACTTAGAAGCTGAATTTGGCCACGAGAGGGTAGTACTCACTACCATAGGTAGTGAATTTTGATTAGAACATCATTTACACACGAAAAACACTATTTTTTTGCGAAAATCAGACGAGTTACAGTCAAAATGCGATTAAAACGTGATTAAGAAAATTTTCGAACGGAAATTCAGAAATTAGTTACGAAAAATTAAGAACTTGCTGCTGAATTAAACATCATCATGGTCATAGAAAAATCACAACAAAATCATGCTCAATTTAAATAACTTTAGCAACACGTTATTAAACCCTAAAATCATGAAAATCAACATTTAAACCTTCAATTTTCGCATAAACCAAATCTGAAATTTTATTTCATAAATCAAGTGAAGTATCTACAACTCTTTAAATATGAGTATACCACCGGTACCGTTCTTATGAACAGTAGAGCAGTGTGCTTCCTCATATACCCTCGGTTTGGAATGTTAATTACGGACTTGCCATTTTGTTCTGATATTCCCCCTTTTCTTCTTCCCTGGTTTTCACTTTTTCTAACTCGCCCATTAGTTTTCTTCTCTCTCATCATTTTCTTTGTCCTCCTCTTCCTCCTCCTTCTCCATTAAAGCAACTCCAGAGGTGTTTCGGGGTTTTCTGATGTCCTGCGGGAGAGTTACAATTCCGAGACTGGAACCGGACGCCTGTACCTGCAAAACAAACGGATGCTCCGGATGATTGAAGATCCGCCTCCGACGGTCAAGTTAGTACTTGATTAAGGAGTAATTAATGCGGAAATTAAAGTGATTGGGTCTCTCTAGGTGAGAGTGTTTAATGTGTGTAATCTGCGTTTTTAGCGTCATCTCCCTTAATGAGGATTAAGGGAGGTATTTATAACCTCGGGAAACGTGTCAATCTAGGTTTAGGTTAACCTTGGGCTGATTGGGCTTCCCTCAGAAGTTGGGCCTAGGTGAGCGGTTATCCCAGGTGTCATGGGAAGGACACGTGTCGTGTCGTAATTGGTCCATAGTGGACGGATCATTGCTTGACACGTGACAGGCTCCTATTGGCCCATGTGACGGACACATGGCGGAACCTGATGGGTCCACTTGTCAGATGGTGATTGGTGGGGAAAAATCCCCTAATCAAGAGGTACGATAGTTTTACTTTTACGCACCTTTCACTTTCTCTCTCCTCCCTCCATTGAAGCCTACTTCGAGTTTTCCATTGAAGCGGATTCTAAGCTTTCTATCCTCCATTGAAGCTGCTTCTGAGGTAAGGTTATTATTTTTCAATTCATCTAATCTAATCTAATCTAATATTAATCGCTCAATCTAGGGTTTAATTTCACACTACCGTTAGTTTAATTTATCGCTCAATCTAGGGTTTAATTCACATTACCGTTAATTTAATTTTTATTTTCAGTATAGTTAATTTAGGGTTCTTATTAGGTTGATTATTGAACTATTGATTGTAATTACTGAAGTTATGGAAGCTTAAAACGAGCGATTTCTTTGTAAGAATTTTGTTATATGCAGTTTATGTTGATTTTGTTTAGCGAGATGAATTTTGTGTGATGTTTTTGAGTCTAATCAAGCAGATCTGAAACGTGTTGGGACTATTTAAGCATGAGTCGAGCTTGAGTTGGAATAGTAGTAGTATGATTAATAAACTAATTAAGTGATCTTTGTTACATGCAGTTGAACGCTTTGCCTTTGGTGAATGTGTTAGTGAGCTGGGTGTATCTGCTGTGAATGTACTAATTCTGAATTCACAATTGATGAACTCTATCAAATTTGATTTTAATTAATAGGATTTTATATAAGTGGAGCTTTTAAGATATAAATTTGTAAATTGTGTTGGTTGTTCTATGAGTTACTAGATTTTTGTTGTTGTTTAGAGATAAATTATTTTAAAATTGGTTCTGATAATTTTGTTCTTTGTTACATGCAGTTGAACGCTTTGCCTTTGGTGAAGGTGTTAGTGAGCTCGGTGTATCTGGTGTGAAGGTACTAATTCTGAATTCACAATTGATAAACTCTATCAAATTTAGGTTATCTTACATTTGGTTGAGCTAATTTAGATTAAAAAGTGTAATATAAAAGCAACGATTAAATTGTGAGATTATATACTTTAATCGAAAAATATAAGAGTATGTAATTGATGGTGACGGTTTAACAATGGAGGATTTGAGGTTCAACAATGGTGAAAATTAGATCTTTTGGCGCTGTTTGCATTTTTGCGTGCTTGAGAGTTGAGACGAAATGAGGGAAAATAAGATAGTTGCAAATGAGGTTTCTGACTAATAATTTTTTTGGGGAGTAATTAATAACCACCAGATACATTATTTTCGAAATTATCATTAATTTGCAGAATATGGATAATTAAGATTATTAGTTTCAAGAGCATGGATAATGCACTACTTAAGTTCACGTACTATAATTTCCAGAATTTTGCATATTAATTTAAATTATGTGTGAAAAATTAATCTCTGTCTTAATATCTGATAATTCAGTTTTAATACCTACTATAATTTCTAGAATTTTTCATGTGGGAGAAGTTAGGAGCTGATTCTATCGAATCTTAGGAAAAAGGGAGAGGTAAATAATCAGTACTTTATTCATTGATGTTATGCTTTAAACTGATTTAAGGGGAAGTAGAGGAGGGGCTCTTTTGGCAGTATCTTTATATGTTAGTTATGAGTAGCTTGGGATTTGGAAATTAATTAGATATAATTAGGGAAGAAATTTTATGTATAGAGAAGATTATGGAGAGGGAAGGATGTCAATCTTCATCATAATTTTCTTTGCTTTTCAGCTTTTTTGTCCGTCTTCTCTATTTCTTTTTCCCTAAAATCAGATGCTATTATACAGTTTATCCTTCTTCTTTTCTCTCTCTTCGTACTTGCTTCTTCTTTAACATGCAATTGGGTTATGTATATTAGTCTATTAGTTTTCGGAGGAGTTGTAGTTGATTTGACTAATATTACATATATAAGAGCGTGCAATAGATGTTGAAGGTAATTTGGTTTTCTTTTCTTTGTTCACCATTGAAGCTTATATTAGGTGATTTAGCGTTTCTTTTCTTTTTTGTTCGTCTATTTTGAATTTTAGTTTTGGGATTTTTTTTCGTACTTGCTTGCTTTTTTTTTTTTTTTTTTTTTTTTTTTTTTTTTTTTTTTGTTTTGGTATTCTTCTTTTTGTTTGCTAATAAAGCTTCTATGAGGTGACTTTGTATATATTTGTTTAATTATTTGGGTTTACTATTTGAGTTTTGAATTTTACTGATTCCAATTCTGTTTTTATGAATTTTATTGATTATGATTGTTTCTTGGGTGGTAATTTAAAATAAAATATTTTTTGGGTGGTTATATCAAAATTGGTCTATTTTGTGGGTGGTAATTTACAAATTATTCTTTTTATATTTACTATTTAAAAATTTGGGCTTGAATTAGTGTATAATTTGCAGTGAAATGAAATCATTTATCAAGTTACAGGGTACCCTACAGATTCCGATTCTTAAAATTGAGAACCTGAACCGGAAACTGTTGCAATAGGTTCTCAATTTTACTATCTCAGAACAGAAACTTCTTATCCAGGTTCCGATTCTGGAACCTGCAGTTCCCAGTTCCTAACAGGTTTCGATTCCGATTTAGGGTATCCTACTTTTTTTTCTTACCCCTAATAATGACCGAGGTCTAAGCAAAAACTAATTTTGGAGAAAATACATGTCAATAAGTTTGAGAAACAACTCAGGCATATCAGGGGGTAATTTTCGTAAATTTCAAGTTATGAAAGGGTAGTATAGTAATTATGGATGACATAAGAAGACGGACGAAAACAGGGGATCGTTAGGCTGAGTTAACGACGTCTGCACTCAAAGTTACTTTGTTACTGTTAATTCTTTCTCCCTCTACTTTCCTCTTTCTATAAAAACCTAAGACCTTTACTTTCCTCTTCATGTTAAAACCCTAATCACAAAATTGAATTTCTCTGAAATCATAATCTTCCGGAGTGAGGAATTGAATTTCTTCGAAATCAAAATCTTCTGGAGTGAGGAATTGCGATCGAGTATAAACTAGGTTTGTAACAAAAACAATGGCTTCAAGTATGAACTTCTTACACGACCATCTTTGTCACTCCTATGGTCCTCTTTTGCTACTCACTCGAAAAAAAAAGGAGAAACAAGTATTTGCCCTTTTTCTTTTTTTGGGAATAACGTCGTTAGTACCAGCCGTCACCTTATTGTTGTTACGTTAAAAAAAAAAAACATAAGTGCATTTACGGACGAGAGAGCCCTAATTTATCTTTATGATAAACAAAAAAAAAAGTTTATCTAGTGGCAATTCCGTAAATAAAACAACATATAACCCCAGTCAACATGATATTTTTGTAACTAAATCAATATTTGTGAGTCCACATTTAATAATTTTTTTTTTATTTATTTACGGAAATGCTATCCAATAAATGTTTTTTTTTTGTTTATCATAATATAAACTTGTTATTTCTCTTCACGGACAGAAAAAATAAAAGGAGTAATATTGGGATAATTTAATTTAGAAAAAATGAAAACCGAGCATGAATAATTGGGTGAAATGGTGATGGAGGAGGTATCCAGGCTAGGCGCACGTTCACCCACTCCCTGTTGTCCAATGTCCACTCTCTTGTATCGTAGCTCCACATTCACCACCTTTTCCTTTTCCTTCTGGTTTTCGTTGTCTCGTTGAAATTGTAGTTTTGGGATCGAAATAGGGTAAAATTAGGACATGGATTTAGAGAGTGAATTAACGGTTGTTGTTGGGGCAGATGCGAATCAAAGAAATGGAAACCACTTGCTGGATTCCGATCAACCTACCGGCAGCGCTGATCCTGTGGAGGCGGACACCAATCATCATTCTACGGGAATCGAGATTCAGGAATCTCGTTCCTTGACTAATAAGGGATATGGGTTGAAGAAGTGGCGAAGGATTAGAAGAAAAGATGTTGTTATCACCAAGGAAACGGAATTGGAAAAGGAAAAGGAAAAGGAAAAGGAAAAGGATTATGATTCCGATTCTACTACTGGTAGAATGCTCAAGAGAGGGTCTGCTAACATTTTGAATGAGAATGATGTTTCTTCAATGTCACCCAATCACAACAATTTAGCTGCTGTTGTTGTTGACACTTTCAATGTCGGTGCGGATTCCGGTAACAGCGAGGACAGCCATAGCCATAGCCATCGGAGTAGCAGCAAGTCATCAACGGCTGCTAGTCATCCCAAGCTCTCTCTTCGAGCTTCCTCAGGCTCAACTCAAGCTCATCATCCACATCTGAATCAGCGCAGGCCCAACAAACCCAACTTGAATCAGCCTCAGCCTCAGCCTCAGCCTCAGACTCAGACTCATCCCGACCCTATCAAGAAACAAAAACCCAGAGAAACCTCCCCCCTTTCTAGCATGGAGTCTGATTCAAGAAGTTCTTTTCGCGATCATCTTCCAACTCCAAATCCCTCAAGCTTTGATGCAGATGATGCTGCCAATCCCCATCCCCTGCCGCCACCATCCTCTCAACAACAACTTCCTTCTACTCTTACTGGAACTACTAATTTTGCTCTTTCATCCGACTCTTCAGATCAATTGTCCTCCACTGCTTACCATGGGAACACTAAGCTCCCCACTGACCGCGATCCTCTTCTCGACTCTATCTTGCTGCTCCAATCTGCCCAACTTGCTCTTCAAACAGGTTTGCTTTCTACTATAACTTTTTTTTTTTGGGTTAAAGCTTTCTACTTTAACTGGACCCCCACATTTTTACTAATATCCTTCTTCTATTGTTCAAGAGTATGGTAGGATCTATATTAATGACATGCTTCAATGTTAGGCTGGATATGACTAGTAATTGATATTAGAAAGTCTTGTTCATGTGTTTCCCTTCAATGTGAAATGACAAATTACCTTAGGAGGAGATTGTTTGCTTCACATTAGGAGTATTGGGTTTGCCTTATTGGTAGTGGATTGGCGACATATTCAATTTCTTGGATTTGGTAAGGAAAAGGTGTAGAAATTGTTGTGGCACAAGTTCTATATGGCAATTTTGTGGCATGTTTGGCCGGAGGCCTTACTCTTGTGTCTTTCTTGAGCTTCCTTATCTTCTAAGTCGGTCTAAGACAAAGTTACCTATCTAATATCTAGCGTCTTCTTGGGCTAAAATGGGCCTTTCAAAAGTCACTTTGTATTTAATTTAAGAGGTTCAAAGAAATGGGTATAATCTGTAATTTAGAACCCTGATTTAATATGTACTCATTTTTTTACCAGGTTTATGCCAAATTGCCAATGAAGTTTATGTATTATGTGATATATGCTTGCCCTGTCAATGAGTCTTGTTAGCGTGTTTTCCTCCACTATGAACTGGTTAGCTATTTTAGAGAAGACTCTTTCCGGTGATAACGAGGAGGCTTGTGTGTGCTGTTCGAACATTCAGGAGTTGTTACAAATTCGATTTGTGGTTTTGGTAGGTCAAAGAAGAAGTTGCTTTGGCAAAATGCAGCGATGGCGATATTACTATTCCGCATGCATTGTTGTGGGATTAAGTAACTTTAGGGTTTGAATCCCTCTCTTTTTGTATTGTACTTTTCCTAAATGAACTCTCCAACATTTCTAATTGTAACAACTCAAACAACAAAAACTACTTTAGAACATAGGAGTTTGTTCCGTGAGACTCTCCAACATTTCTAATTGTAATTGATCACTGAAAAGGGAGTTTTCTAGGGGGCAGAGCATGTCGGTGATAGTTATTTTACTGTGAGACTAATTTCTTCAAATGTGAGGGGACATAGATGCTCTAAGAGAGAGGGAAGTTTAAAAAGTTTAGCTTGCTTATTTGATATTGCTATTTTTCGAAAGTGAAAACAAAGAAAAAGAAAAAGTAGGTCTGTTAGCCATTTGTAGGTTTAGCATGGTGGTTAACTTTCTTTGGGATTTCAACTCTTTAGAGCTCTTGGATTCTAGTGTAGGGGAGTTATCATGTATCACATGTAAAAATTTATCAAGAAAATACCGTAAATGACGAAAGAAACATAACTTTGTATATTTTTGTTTAGCCATCCTCTTCAAGGTGTTTGTTTCCGGTTGCAAATCCCAAGCCTGGTTAAAGGAGGAGGGTCACGGTAGACTAGTGACAGCCAATGTAAAACTTTGTCACATCACTTGACATGAGCCACAATGATTGAGAGTATTAGTAGGATAGGTGACCTCCTAGGAAGTCCTCATGTTGATTCATGTAGTTGTCCTCACTTATAGAATTAAGGCATTCAAGAGAAGATGTCATGGTCAATTCTAGTATAAGATACCAAAACCCTAGGAACTAGGTACCAAAGAAGTAGAGAAAGGGCTGCCATTTAGCATACAAAAATATGCTATATGGTTTATGGAACAAAAAGTGGCTATCAAATTAGAAATTAAGTGACCTTGAAGCTCATCAGTATATATTACTCTTTTTCCTAAAATAGGTCTTTAACTAGCTCCGATCCCCAGAAAGTCTTTAATGGATGAACAGTGTGTTTGTTTCAATATGTAGCTTCCGTTTCTGTGTGAATTATGACCTCTGTACTTTATCAACCGAGTTATATTAATGGACTAGATCAAAATGGTTTGTGAAACTTTGTGCTGCTTATTTGTTGTCAAATACTATCTGCGTTCCTTTTTGATAGTTATGCTTTCCGTTTACATCCTTTCTTTTTTGTTAGTTAGACTTCCACTTCACTCCTATTTTGGCAATGTTTTTTTTTTTTTTTTTTTTTTTCACCTAATCCCACATGTTAAACCCTTTTTTCATACTTTATCTTACACAACCTAATTTCCAATACTCTTTTCCATACTTTTCTTTGCGTAAACCCACTTACAATCATTTCTTTCCTACTTCCTTACACATGCCCTGCTGCTGAGTCTCTCTCTCCTAGTCTCTGAAATGTGTGTCAGCAGTAACCGTAACTATGAAAAAGGAACGGAGGTGATAGCCCATGTTCATTGCATTTTAGGCCAAGGGTCTAGGAAAATAACCTTCATGATATGGCAAGGATGAAGCTGAAAACATCCCAAACACCTTTTGTCTCATTTTGATACGTGGTTTATTTAGGGAAAGTGGAGTAAAGTTGATTGTTGTTGCTAATTTGACTTATAAGCAATGAACACCCCATTGTTATTAAGGTTCAGTAAGTAAAATTAATCCTTTGAATTAAAACTAATATTCATAGTTATGATATCATTTTGGTGGATGAAATTAAAGATGGGAAGCTGGAGCAATGGAGGCAAAGGTTGGAATCTAAAGGGTTTAAGCTAAGTCGGAGTAAGACTTAATATTTGGTATGTCGCTTTGGTACCCAGATGGGGACAAGTGATGAAGTAGTGAGTTTGGATGGAAAGGAATTGACCATGAGTGAATGTTTTAAGTATCTCGGGTCGATCATCTAGAAAAATGGTAACATTGATCAAGACGTGGCCCGTAGGATTAAGTCGGGGTGGCTTAAATGGAGAGCGGTCACGGGGGTGTTATGTGACCGAAGCATTCCCTTACAATTGAAGGGAAAATTCTACAGGATTGCCATAAAACCAATGTTGGCTTCTAAGAAGGAGCACATTAAAAAGATGGAGGTTACAGACATGCGCATATTAAGGTGGATGTGCGGGAATACTCTAAGAGATAGAAAGAGATAGAATCAGAAATGAGGTTATTCGCAAGAAAGTAGGTGTGGCAGGCATTGCAGACAAAGTAAGGGAAAATTGCCAACGTTGGTTTGGGCATGTAAGACATAGACCCGTGGGTGCACCGGTTCGAAGAGTGGAAAAGTGGGACCATGGAGAGGTTAAACGAGGGAGAGGGAGACCGAAAATGACTTGGTTGGAAGGAGTTAGGAAGGATATAAAATATATGGATTTGCATGAGGATGAAGCATTGGATCGTAAGGGATGGAGGAGGAAGATCTTTGTGGATGACTACACGGAATAGTCAAATTTGGTTCATGTAGCCGACCCCATTTATGGGATTAAGGCTTTGATTGATTGATTCACAGTTATGTATCTAAGGCCTTTTTTTTTGGCAATTAGCTAAGAAACAACTCATAGGTTTAGCTTTGCTTGTTTGAGAAGCTTGTAGTATTAGATGTATGTATTTACTTGCTAGTGTTAGTTGCTCATAAAGATATTTGGTAATATTAGCCGTTAGCAATTAGAATCATATAACTAGCTTTTGAGCTAAACAAAATTATTATATTTATGATAATCCTACACCTGGTTATTGGCGTGGGTTGGGTCAAAGAGGGTCACATTTTATTGGGCCAATAGCGGGTTGATAATGGCATTGGAACAATTTTCAGACCAATTAGAATATACTCTTCCACTATAAGTTCCTCCTTTCCAAAAGAGTAAATCTTTTTAAGATTAATGTAGAAGTGGTATTTGGACATCATTAATCTATACATATAGCTAATTCAGAGAAAACATGAAAAATTAACATGAACCTCAACTGCTGGTAGTACGTATAACATCATAATAGAGCATAGTCTTACAGAACTACCAAGCCCATTAAGATGAGGTAGTTGGCATCATATTCATGTCAATAGTTCAGGGGTTTTGCGGGGGGTGGAGCTTTAGGAGGGTTAGGTGAGAGGCGGTGGGGTTTCAAGGGGCTCAAGTGGGGTTTTGCAAGGTGAAAGGGGATGGGGTTGTGTGGGGTTTTGCGGGGGTCAGTTGGGTTTCACAGGGGTCCACTGGGGTTGGAAGGTGTAGCCGTGTAGTTAGGTCAGCTGAGGTTTCAAGGGGGTTAGGTGGGGAATTTGGGTGGGGTTTCTGGTGGGGTCAGGTGTGAGAGGGGGTAGGGATGTGAAGTAGGGGTGGAGGTCAGGTGAGGTTGGAGTTTCGGGTGGTGCTCAGGTGGGTAGTGTGGCGGTGGTTACGGTGAGTTGCCATTGAAGGGGTTAGAGAGGTGGGAGCTAAGAGGAGAAAGATTATAAAAATTTTTTTTTTTAAAAACTTAACCTTTTTAACAGGTTGCAGGTAAAATGACCGTTTTAAGCAGATGGGGGTTAAAGGTGGGATTATTTTCCGATTACTCAAAGGTGGGATTATTTTGAGCAGAAGTGACAAAGATGGGATTATTCTTTCCATTTTTCCCTTTAGAATATCAATTTGTCACTGTTTATAAAAAATCCTCAAATTTCCATATTTTTTTTTATTATTATTTTTTTATTTTTTATTTTTTATATGCAGTCAAAATGTTAGCTGCTAATTCATAAATGGTTATCTACTACATTCAATATTGAAATTGGAGCACGGTGATCATCTGTGAATGTAGTCTGATCTTTGAGGCTTGAAAAGTGTCATGAAAGTTCTTCCTCAAGGATTTTTAGAGTCACGGCATACACTTTTCTTTCTAAAATCTCTCTAACTTCCCTGAACTAACTTCAATAAGCTTTTTATTTCAATTTTTTATGCCAACAACAATAAAAATAATAATAATAAAAGATTTTTATGAAAAAAATATTGATTTACTGGCTTCTGTGTTTGTGTCCTAATTTTATTCTTGGTTTCTAAATTTCCATTTCCAATTTCATGTTTTCCTGCCACAGGTGTGATCTGCTAATTGCAAAACATGGTTCCTTTTTTTTTTCTTCTGTTTTTGATCTAGTCGCTAACCTGCCTTGCATAGCATCTATTGGAGGTACTATAGTAGTTTCTATATTTTTTATATAGTATGCATTTGATTCTTGCAGAAGTTCAGAAGTTTGGGGAGATAGGCAAGGGCATTTGTTCGTTGTGTGATGACTCCGACAAAACTAGTGGTGTTCCTGTCCCATCTTTGTCTGTTGATCCTTTAGTTTACATGGAAAATGCTTCTGATGGTTGGAGTGAGTTTAATCATGCCTATTTGAGCAAGATTGTCCAAACACTTGAAAGACAGCTGAATGAAGCTGAAGGTAGCCTCAAGGAGAAGGAACAGAGGATTGCTGAACTAGAAACAATGAGAAGTATGGAATCACCTCAAGAACGTGTAAGGAGCACTATGGAGCAGCAAACTAAAAGATACATAGAAATGGAAGCTGAGCTGCAGGATCTTTTCAAGAAAAAACTTGAAGCTGAAGTTCAGTCAGTTGTGATAGCAAGATCTTCCAAGGACTTGAGTGTTCTTGTTGAAGATAAGATATTGAGGGAGCAAATTTCTCTATCTAAGGAGCAAGCACAATCTCCAAAAATGACAGTGAGTGTAGAAAACAAGGCTGTCATGCTACAAGGACAAGCTGAGAAGTCGGACGCACTGTATGGTGGTATCTTGGGTGGTGAAGAGATTCAGAAGATGCAGAAACGGGTAGTTAAGTTTACAAAATGCCTTACTATACAATTGGTTTTGCTGGTCTTAGTATTTGCACTGTTTGTCATGCAACTAGTACCCAAATCAGCGGTGGTTGTACCCACTTAGTACACTATATATGTAGTTAGGTGATTTCTTTTTCATCTTGTAATCCTGGGTTGAATCAAGATCGATGATTTATTTTCTTTTCCTTTTTTTCATTTTACTTTTATTTATAGGTCTAAAAAAAGGTACAGATAGATCAGATTGTATTCAGATTGTATTTTGCTCTGTAAACTGTTCTTGATAGTCATGATATATATTTTCTCAAAATCAAATAATTTCATATATACTGTATTTTTAAGGAAAAATTGCGAGGAAGGTCCTTTTAAGTGGCCGACCTTGTGTGGAAGGTCCTTTTATGAAAAAGGTGGCACTAAAGGTCCTTATATATGGAGATTGAATTGTGGGGAGGGTCCTTTGACCAAACTCCGGCGTTGACCAAAATTTTCCGGCCAAAAAAAGTAACGTGCATAGCACGTGACAACTTTTTTTTTTTTTTTTCTCCCCTTTCCCTCTTCTTCCTCGATTTTCAGTTTTCCCCCCTTTTCAGGCGCCTCCAACCTCCCTCGAGGCCAACCCAACAATTGCTCCTCGTCTCCCTTTTTGCTACCAACTATTAGTCATTCCCTTCCCTCGGCGTTCTGTCTCTTTCCTCGGTCCTCACTGCCAACAATTCCTTATTTGACTCGTCCATGTTGAAGATGATGGGTGGGATGGAGATCTATTAGCCAATTTGCTGTAATTTGTATGAGTCGATGATTTCGGTGAGTCGTGGTTGACTAAGCAATAGGAGAAAGAGATGGCCTTAATTTTAGATGGTAACCAATCAACGGGGCTCATGAAAACCATAGTTCATTACTTAGTTTGTGGGAGAAAGTGATGAGCAATGGACAAATTTGCAGTGGCGGTGGTGGACTAAACAAAGGTGAGAGTGAGGGTGGGGTTGTTGGTTAGAGATGAAGGTAGAAAGTTTTGGAGAAGAGGGGGAAAAATTGAAAATGGAGGAAAACTGAAAATCGAGGAAGAAGAGGGAAAGGGAAAAAAAGAAAAAAAAAAACAAAAGGCCACTTAAGTTGTCACGTGCTCGTGACTTTTTTTGGCCGGAAAATTTTGGTCAACGCCGGAGTTTGGTCAAAGGACCCTCCCCACAACCCAATCTCCGTATAAGGACCTTTAGTGCCACCATTTTCATAAAAGGACCTTCCACACAAAGTCGACCACTTAAAAGGACCTTCCTCGCAATTTTTCCTTTTTAAAATTTATTTTATGTATATAGGTAAGGAAAAAAGAGAAAATACTTGTATTTTGTAAGTAGTCGAAGTTTTACAGTTATTATGCTTCCACAAGTGGTAGTTTATGGGTATTGTCAACATTTATTGAAGGAAAATTTGAAAGCTTAGACCTGTGAGATGGAGACAAGTGATGATACGGAGTATTGTGGTAAAATGTTTATGATTCTTTATATGTTTGAAGTAAGAGGCTCATAAATTATACAAAAGTTTGCGAGAAAGCTAGAGTGGACCTTAACTGTGTTAGTGGAAAGAAGAATGCCTAAAATAGTAATGAATTGAAATCACTTTACTAAAACAAATTTAATAAAAGATCAATAAAGCCTAAGTTCTGAAATTGACATTCTAATGAAAAATGTTTAGCATGAGATTTAAACTCTCTATTGCATTAAAAGCCTTACCATCTCATCTATTGATTAATCATGTTTTTATACTCAACTCATAAATATATATATGGATTGGAGATATGATGAACATTTAATAACTACAATTTAAAAAAAAATTGAATTCTATTAGTTGCTAATACTACTCATCAAGGTAAGGAATATAAGAAGAATTAACAATTGTTATAGACTTATTTTAGTTGTTTTTGTCTTTGTATTTCATTATAATATAAGTTATATGCGATGGACATGTTTATCCGTTGTTCTCAAAGGTTTTGTGAAAAACTATTATAAATAAATAAATAAAGAATAAAGAACGAACCTATCTATTTAAATACAAGTGTTCAAAGTCACAACCCGAGGCATCACTCTTGTTTTATTTTATTTTATTTTTTTTAAGGTGAAGTGAACGAGATCTAAATGTAGGCAGAAAAAAAAAATGTTGTGCAAATTAAGAATAAAAAAAAGGGTATACAAAATAAGAGTGGTAAGGGAAGATAAATGAGAGGAAAAACATGCAAAACACAATGGATTGAGGTAAAATAAAATGATAAGATATACTTCATTCGTTTCTTTTTAGTTGACACGTTTCTTTAGTCACGTTTCCCAATGCACAAATTTAACCATTCATATCTTTAATTACCAATAAGCAAAAATTATGAAAAGTTGATATTTTGAAAATATATATCGTGACGAATCTAACAAGATCCCACATGACTATATTTTTCATTACGTATAAAGCACAAAACACGGTCAAAGGGGAGTGTGTAAATAGTGCTAAAGTCAAAATGTGTCAACTAAAAAAATGGAGGTAGTATGAAGTATATAAAATCAACACTAAAAAAATAAACTAAAAAGTATACTATATAGTCATGACACGACTTCGACATGGATTTTCTCCTTCCATCTTGTCATATCTAACACCATATTTCCCTCAATCCCAAACATATTTATACCACTCTCAACAATCTTCCAAGTTTTCTTAGGGCTTCTCCTACCCCTTGTGATCCCATCACTTTGCCACACTTCAAGCCTCACTTGATCTCTGTCTTACATGACTAAACCACCTTAGGCGATTCTCCCTCATCTTGCATTATATTCAATGGATGTAATCCCTACGCTCTTCCTAATTATCTAATTTTTAACCAATCTTTTCTTGTATTGCAACACATCCATCGTAATTTACGCATCTTTCCCATATTCACAACACAACAAAATTCTTTACCATATAACAGTGCGAGCCTAATTGTTGTTCGGTAAAATTGACCCTTTAATCTATGAGACTAGAATCACTTTAAGACTCTGTAGCTAGGGATATCAATGGGGCGGGGCGGGGCGGAGGTTGGCTTTCCCATCTCCATCCCCACCTAAAATTTTCATCCCCATCCCTATACCCACGACGAGTCCAAAATTCATCCCCATTTCCGCCTCGGCAGGTACAATTACAAAACCATCCCCGCCCCACCCCCCACTTTGATATCCACCCCCACCTCCCTATAGACAATGTTACATAATTAATATATATATATTTACACTTTATAATATTAGTGTATTACAAAGTATTATATCTACTATTTTATTTTACATAATTTTTTTTAATAAACTAGTATAGAAGTATATAATTTTGTTTTTAAAAATATAAAGATGGAATATGGGGCGAGGACAAATTGGGGCGGGGCGAGGATGGGGCGGGTACAACCTAAAATCCACCACCGCCCCATCACCCATGGCGGGTATGGTTTTTATCCCCATCCCCGGCCCGCCACCCGCCAAACCAAGACTCATCCCCGTCTCACTGGGGCGGGGATGGGATGGATCTCCTATTTGACCCGCCCACTAACATCCCGCCGTAGTAGTCTTCCACTTTAAGTCTTCAACCAACTTGCTTCAATTTTATAAGTGACATCTCCATCCAATTCCTCATCCTTCGAAACAATAGATATCAACGAAAGACATCAAAATCTTGGACAATCTTCCCATCCAAGGTGATCACCCATTCCTCCTTGTTTCCAACTCCGCTAAACTTGTATTTCAAATACTTCATCTTACTTCTGCTCAGTATGCTTCGACATTATTTACCTCTCCACAATTCCAAGTTTTCAACTTACTTACCACGTCTTCTGTCATCTCATCAATTAATTAACACAATATCATCAAAAAATATTATGCACCATAGTATATCATCTTGAACTAAACTCGTCAATGTGTTCACGACTGTGGAAAAAAAGAAAGAGCCAAGTGTAGAGCCCATTTTAATAAACAAACAAATTTATATGGTAAAAATTTATATGACTGTGACCAATAAGATTTTTGCCATTAAATACTCCATAGTCCACACCTTGTGAAGGTAAAAAGAAGTTACAACTTTGCATTACAAAGGAATGTAAAAGGGAGTTTACAACTTCCCACTAAGAATTTAGGATCTGGATCTAGAACCGGTTCAACCAGGTTCTAAACTTTTGGACCCAGTATTGGAACCAGTGAAACCGATTCCAAATCTAGACCCATCGAGTCCAAACCAATTTTGATTCCGAAACTAGGTACCCAGAATTTTGGCTCACCCCTACTCTACACCAACATTTTTTTTTTTTTTTTTTAACATTACACCCACAATATAAAACCTTCAACATAGATCATACCTTTTAAAACTTGGATACCATTTTCCTAAAAGTCCAACTTAATTTTAGTTGGTAAGAAGGCCCTATCGGGCTAGAACCTCTCACATCCTCCGATCTGGGTTTGTATGGATAAAGAGTGAATACGTGTAATATGTTCGGCTGCTAAAATTTGGAAAACCAATTATATAGCACCGCAAAGTCATAATACAATGCCATTCCTAAAAACTATCAAAACCAGTAAAAAGGTCTAGTTCACGAACACATTTTTAATCAAATTTCAGTTTTCTCAGTACTGGCAAAAAAATGTTATCATAAGCCAATGTAAAAAATAATAATAAATAAATAAAGTCTAAACTCCAAAAGGGACATCGTAAATTTGTATTTCATTAAGACTGAATATATACAAACCTGGCAATGCAGCCCATTTCTTATTTGCACAAAACAGTGTCAAATTAATCAAGTTTTTACTTCCTACAAAAATTTCCAGCTCACTAACAGGTTAAGCTAATCTTTACAGCTCAAATTCGGCCACCCCCTCTCCTATCACTCTCCCAAAAAGAGCAACCTCGAAACAATTTCCAACCCCTCCAGCAAAAATAAAAATGTAAATTAGATACTATCCAGGAGTAACAGAAAACTATACTCTTTCTTTAGCTGCCTGAGATTATGCAATTCAGATTTTGCTACTTGTTTATGGAAACCCAAATTATCTAGAGGTCCCAGCTGATGCACATTTATCATATTCTCCTTGCTCTTCTTTGGAAAATTCTTCTATTAGTTCCCGTTGTCTTGGGGTCAAATTCCTGCCAATCATTCATTACCCGCATAACACCCTCACATTAGATAGGAAATAATGAATCTTGAAGAATCCCGATAACAGATGTAAAATCCCAATAAATTTATCAGCATTTGGAAATCTCAGCAAACTTACTTTGGGATGCTGACATTGAAGTGCACAAACTGATCCCCAAATGAGGCAGAGCCCCTTGCTTTAATCCCTGCAAGAAATCACAAAATGTAACAAGTTTTCAGGTTACAAAACTTCAAGATGCATGATGCCACACAGGGTTCAGTAAACCCAGTGCATGGGAAATGTTAACTATATCCCTGAAACCTCTCTGCCGTACTGATAAACAGGTGCCTACAAACTAGAGGTTACAAATAAGTTGCTTGATTAAGTTGGAAATAAGATATAGCTAGTATGCTATTAAAAAAAAAAAAAATGGAAAAATTGAAAAGAATAATCCCACCTTTGCTCGACCAGCTCAAAACGAGCCAACCTTTGCGTATTCTGGGAACGGGCCAACCTTTGCCCCCTATTTTCTTAAAACAAGCCTATTTACCTATTACTTGTTAACTGGTTAAATATTTTTTTTTCATTAATCTATCTCCTTCCACCTCCACCCATAAACTAAACTGACCCCACCCAACCCCCCACGGCCTCACCCAAAACCACCAACTGTCACTTCCCCCACCTCCCAAACCACCCTTGAATAGTCCCCTACCACCACCCGAAACCAAACACCCCCACCCTTGAAACATCCCTAAAACCTAAACCCCCCACCACCAAAACCATCTTCACCAGCATTGCGCCCCACCCAACCGAAATCACTAAGCCATTGACGCATCATTTGACTTCTGATGGTGATTAAACGACGCCATATCGTCATTTACAGAAGGATTCCGAAATTCATCCCTATTTTGATGGTTTAATTGCTTCCTAGAAAAATAGTTGCGATTTTGATGGTTTTTGTTGCGGCTGCTAGCCTGCTAGGTGCGGTGGTTAGAGGTCGGTGTGGGGCTGTTGGTTGTGGTCGAGGCTTAGTGATTGTTGTGGTTGTATGGCTTTGTTGATTGCTGGTGGTGGGTTGGAGGCTTGCTGTTGTGAGAGGAAGGAGGTTGCGTGGTGATGGGCGGCTACTAGAAGCGGTGATCGATGTGGGGCTGCTGGTTGTGGTCAAGGCTCGGTGGTTGTGCAGCTTTGTTGATTGCTGGTGATGGGTCGGCCGGCGGGAAAGGGGGTAGCTATGGGGGTGGTGGGGGCTGAGTCAGGAAGGAGCTGGTTCTTTTTTTAATTTTTTTTTTGTTTTTGTGTTTGTTTTTTAATTATTTAAAATAATGACCAATTAGAAGGTGACACATGGCAAGTCACCTTCTAAAACCGGTTAACAAATTATAAAACCGGTCAAAGGCTTGTTTTGAGAAAATAGGGGGCAAAGGTTGGCCCGTTCCTAGAATACGCAAAGGTTGACTTGTTTTGAGCAGGTCCAGAAAGATGGGATTATTCTTTTCAATTTTTCCAAAAGAAAATTGAGCATGAAAGAAGTTGCCTAAAAAAGAGATGGTGCAACAAACTTGTATATTTCTGCATAGTGTAAGTTGAAGATGACCCTACTAGTGTCATTTGAGAGACTGCTCTCATACTTTACAACAGAGTTGGACTACTACATTTTGTATCATATATTTTACAAAATATATCGACAGCTTCCTTACGTGATATAACAACAATAAATGTTCCTCAAACTAGAAGACCATACAAATGAAGGAAAAGGGATTTATAAATTGGGGAAACCTAACAGAAATAATATTGTTAAACATGCAATTATGCTGCTCACCTTTTTTCTTCAGCACAACCTTCTGACTTGGTTGGGTCCCAGGACGAACCTTTATAAAAAAGAAAATAAAAATATGGATTCAATATGAATCTTCACTGCCAGTAAAACTTCAAGATAGCTACATACAGAAGAATATTGTACAAACCTTAAGAACAACATCTCCGGTCAGAGTTGGAACCTCGATTGTCCCACCCAAAATTGCCTGCGTAAGCCAAACAATGAGAGTTTTATCACTGATCATAAAAGAGGCTTGGTGTCGGGAATTGCTAATTAACCACAAGTTGAAAAAAACACATGCGATCCGTTCATGTTCATAGAGATGTAAGATTGGGTCGTGGGCACAGACAATCCTTCCAGCTTGAGACTAATGTAACATTGAATACAGTAGCCTGGCTTTGTTGTTGCACCTAAGTATCTAACATGATCTTCAAGTTTTGGAAATTGGGATTACCACATCACACTTTACAGGAGGTCCAGGAAGGATACATCATACAGATGATGCAGCGTTGCTCCCTATGAATGATTTCTGGATCTAAGATTGACAATATTTTAGCTTTTACAGTTCACCTTACTGTGGCATTCATGGAAAAATTTGAATTTACCCTTCAATCTTTTGGATTTGTTGAAATTGCATGTTGTGGAGGTTCACATGCTGCAAGGAGAAGAAGATTCTATATTGCCATTCTTTAGAAAAATCCCGTTTAGCATTTTTTGTACATCTTCACAAGTTACTTAATCATGAATTTGACATGTGGTCTAGGATACATGGACACTTCACCCAACTGATGTGTGTCCAAACGAACACCAACACTCATTCGACGCGCGACGATATGTCGCTAAACAGTAAACACCGTGTCCGATTTATTTTATATATCCGAACACGTTGTCACAGACCGTGTCCCACTATGATATGATCCACTTTGTATTATGACATGTCACCTCATCTTTTCAACCATTTTTTTTTTTTTTTTTTTGAATTATAAAATTTATGCAAGAGAGATAAGGTAAGAGTTAATAATATAGGTACCTAAATAACTCATTGTTATATGTGAACTACAAAAGTATTAAGATATTGTTAATATGATATAGTGTGATCTAATTGATGAGTCTATTTTATATGTATTTTATTCCCCGTCCCGTGGTCATATTTGAGCTTATTTGAGCTTTACGGAGCTATTTTTATTACCAATATACGTTTTCTAGTGTTTTTTAAGAGTTAGTATTATTTTGTAGAAATTTACAGAATTATGATAATTTCCGAGCTACTACGAAGTATTAGAGTCGTATTTTATGACCGTATATTTGAGCCCAAGGTCGAGTTAAAGGAATTTGGTTCGATGATACGGGCTCGGTTTAACAAACTAGTATACGAACCAAACAAGTTAAGGATTGGGCCAAGCTTGAGAAGCTCAATCCCAAGAGAGCAGCCGGCGAAGTAAGTCGTAAGTCATGAGTTTTGCTGGACGAATAAAATTGGCGGGCCCGATTAGGCGAGTATGTTGCTGAGCTTTTTATAATTTCGGATTGCCGGTTGCGTTTCTCTGTAAAGCAAGTAATGGGTTTCATTGTAAAAGCCCAATTGAATTTGGTTAAGTCAGTGGGTTTGTTATAAAAGGGAAATAGTGGTACGTAGTTAAGGAGGTTAGATTATTTTTACTTTCTTTAGTTTTAGTTTTGTTAGATTTATTTTAGTTCAAGGTTTAGTAGTTAGGATTTTTATACTTGTCTTTAGTGAGTTGACTTTTGTTTTTCAGTTTTACATTGCTTTTATTTTTTGTTAGCTTTGGATTATTACAGTATTGATCTTCTTTTGTTTAATGATTATTGCTTTACTCTAATTTTGTTTTTAATACTAGTTTCTTATTATTGTTTTTATCGTGCTTAATTTAATTAGTTCCCTTAGATTAATTTACATAAAATTATATTTGTTACTTGATAATTTAGATTACGGTAATTTATTAGGAATAAAGAACATTGTTTCCCCGTGCATTCGACTCTACTTCCCTATCTATTTTAGTTAGTGGTTTTATAAATTACTTTTGATTAGGTGAGACGACTTTAGCTTGTCACTAATGAGAGGAAGAAATGACAATATAGAATTAAAGTGGGGACAAATTAATTGTGTAAGTACTTTATGCTGATTAGTTTTATATTTTTACAATACTTGGATTTAAGTAAGGAAAATTTGTAAAAAAAAAAAAAAAAAAAAAAAAAAAACTTTAAATGCACCATTTTGCGAAAAAAAAAACCTTTGAAAAGCCTTATCGCAAAAGAAAACACGAAGTTAAATTTTTTTTTGTTGAAAACAATCTAGTAGGCTAGTACCACTAATTCACTTAACTAACCTCTAATTTCTTCTAATTATCCTCTAACTCTCACTTAACTATTTAATAATTAAATTAATTTATAAATTAAAAAGAAAACCACCACTCCCACCACCTACCAGCCACCCCCTCCCTTTCCTAATTATCCTCTAATTTCCCTTCCCCGGGCCCTGGCGACCCACCTCCACCGCTGGCCGACCCCCCTCCCACTCCCCCTAACCCCTAAAACCCACCTACCCACCACCTTAACCACCAGTATTGCTGGCCAAAACCCGAGTAAGGTAATACAACTACTTTAATGATTTAAACATTAGATTTAAGATTTAAAACATGTGAGTAAAAGTTTAGAAAACCTGATTTAAATATTTAGAAATATGAGTAAAATTTAGAGCATCATATTTAAGATTAAGATTAAGATTTAAAATAGGTGAGCAAACATATAATTCAAAATCTAGAACATAGAACACACGATTTAAAATTAAGAACACAAAATTTAAAATTTAAAACATCTGATTTCACTAATTTAAGATTTAGAAGATGTGAGTAATAATTTAAAATATCTTATTTGACTAATTTAAATTAGAGCAACTAATTTGACAAATTTAAGATTTAGAAAACGTGAATAAAATTTTGAGCAGCTGATTTAAAATTTAGAATATATGAGTAAAATTTAAAACACGAGAGTATCCTCGAATAAAAAGTATTCTCACATAAAGGACGGGTTCTCAAGAGATTCTTCCCATATAAATACTACCTCTGTTACATGTTTAGTGCAATAAAGGAGGTTACATGTTAAGCGCAACAAAGGAGGTTGCACACTTCCTAAGAAAAACATGAAAAAGCTAACTAGCAAAAGTATGGGCATGTGATTACGGAATAACTAAAAAGTTAAGAAGCTCCACCCTACCATCACTACCACCCACTACCCACTGCACTACCACCACCACCCACCTACGTACGCCACCTACGACACCTATAAGCAATAGCAACAAACGAAACCACCATACCAGCCACTGTACCAACCATCGAAACAACCATACCAACCACCCAAAACCACCATACCAACCCACCCCACTACCACCAAGATCCAAAAACCCACCTCTTACCTACTCGCCATAACCACCCTCGTACCACCACCAAGATCTAAAACCCACCCCACCCAACTTGCATCGTTGAAGCTACCCCACACCCACCCCGTAACAACCACCGTACCTTTCCTCCGGAATCATCCCATCTTTCACCATTTTTACTTGATATGAGTTTTCAAGCTCAAGCTCAAATTTTCTTTTCAAGGGTTTCAATTTTTGGCGACAACTTTAATAAGTGAGGTGAAGGTGGAGGCGACTCTAACGAGTAGGAGAAAGTGCCAACGACACTGACAAGGGCGGGGCGGCGACTCTGACGAGGAGGGGTGGCAACTTGATCTAGATGATAATGGTGGTATGGTGGTTGTGAAAGAAGAGAGAAAAGAGAAAAGAGAAGAGAGAGAGGTGGTGGCGGCTGAGAGGGAGAGAGAAAACGTGGTGGTGTTGGTGGATGTGGTTGTGAGGGAGGAGAGAAAATGTGGGTTAGGACTTTAATAACATATGATTTCATGTGTTTATTAAAGTTAAGTAAGGGTATGTTGGTAATTTCACATAAAAAATTTGCTAAAGGAGGAAAGTTTTAGTTTGTTGCAGAAACAAGAGGTATATATATATATATATATATATATATATATATATATATATATATATATATATATATATATATATATATATATATATATATATAATAATAATAATAATAATAATAATAATAAGGATAATTTGTAAATTACCACCCAAAAATGGATCCATTTTTTAAATAACCACCCGTTAATTTTTATTTTTAATTTACCACCCCTTAAATTAAATAAGCATTTAGATTACCACCCATTTCTAATTTCCGGTTGGTTTTCCGTCTGTGGGCCCCACCTAACGGGTGGTAATTTAAAAATTTGACCCATATTTTCATTTTTTTCCCTCGATTTTTTCTCTCTCCATCTTCCTACCTTCTTCAACCTTCTTCCTACCTTCTTCAACCTTAAATCCTCCATTTTTCTCTAACCTTCTGACAAATTCTTCTCCGCCCTCCCCCACTTTCTCTCTCCTCCATTTTTCTTCTGAAATATTTTTATCAAACTCCTTGCTCAAGTAATGTTGCTCCCCAAACTCCCCTGCTCCACCAACCAACCACATCTCCCCTGCATTCTTCACACAACAGCAACAAACATCTTCCCCTGCTCCTTTTCACGCACCTCCCAATTCCCATCTTCTCTTATAACACTGCTACCACCATCAACCTCAATTAATCACAGCAGCGCCACCCCAAAACAGCCCCCTGCTTCACCTCGCAACATCCATCCTCACGCAAACAACACCAACCCACCCATCTCCTCCACCTCGCACAGCCACACCAGCCACCGCAAGAAGCGCAAAAACAGCAGCAATTCCCTCCACATATCAGCCGCTCAAACCACCGTCAACAACCGCCCATCAATCGAAATTCGCAACCCCGCAGCTGGCAATTAATGCTCCAATTGAGGCCCAAAAAGTCAGAATGCTTTAGCGGACGCTCCATATTCTATCAATTGTTTTAAATTTTTGTAATTGATCTTCAAATTGCAGATTTCAAATTAGCCGACCCCACTAATCTTCTTGTTGTTGCTATTGTCATTGTATTTAGGGTAAATTACTAAAGAATTGTCCTACAAATTAATCAGAAAATAAAACTTTGCAATTAAATTTGGGGAAATTAGGTTGATAATTAATTGAATTGGGGCTTTGTATGCTGAAATTGACGGGCTGCTGCTATCTTAATTGAAGTGGGCTGGTTGTGATTTGCAATTGGTGCTGCCGTGAGGAGCTTCTGTTGGTGGCGAATGGTGGCGAGTGCGGCTGTGATTTTTGTTGGGCTGCCGCCAATTGCTGTTGCTGTTGTGGTGTTTGTGATTGTGGAGCGGCTGATATGTGGGTCAAATCGGAGCAGCGCAACTGATTGCGGTGGGCTGGTGCTGAAAGGTCAGGGCTTTGTTCTGCTGCTGCTGGAGGATCTGATGCTGCTACCTGTTGGTTTCCTCCATCAGCTGGGGCTGTTAAGATAAACGTGGATGATGGCTTTGTGGGTGAGATGGGCTGTGGTCTGGGAGCTGTTTATTAGGGGCGGGAATGGTGCTGTTGTGGCGGATGGTGTTCAGCAGGAAAGGAGAAAAACGGAGGAGAGAGAAAGAGGGGGAGGGGGGAGAAGAAGAATTTGTCAGAAGGTTAGAGAAAAATGGAGGATTAAAGGTTGAAGAAGGTAGGAAGGTAGGAAGAAGGTAGGAAGATGGAGAGAGAAGGAAATAGAGAGAATAGAAGAAAAAAAAGGAAGGAAATAAAAAAAGTTGGGCCTACTGTCAGAAACTTCACCGGAAATTTGAAAAAGGTGGTAATCTGAGCGGTTATTTAATTTAAGGGGTAGTAAATTAAAAATAAAAATTAAACGGGTAGTTATTTCAAAAACAGTGTATTTTACGAGTAGTAATAGTAGTAGTACTATTAATCTAAAAACAATTATCATATTACATTATTCGTTTGTGGCCATATGGGAACAACGCAAAATAACAACCCATTGATACTTCTTTGATAAGGCAAACATCATACTTGGGTAAAACAAAGGTAGGCCAAATATTCCTTTAACAAGTCAAATTACACTGAAATATAAACAAGTCAAAAATTATAACTAGTTAGATTTATTGATATCGTACCACTTAATAATCATCCTTGTGGGGTAAATTACTCATTGAGGTGTAAAGAGTCGAGCCAAATTTGTAAAAGATGCTACGATTTAAGACAACTGTAATCCTAATTTGTTTTTAGTTTGCTTTGTACTCCGTCTTCGAAAAAGTGTTGACTCGGATGCTAAATAAGTGTCGAAAAACAGGTGTCACCGTTGACCTAATTATCTACTTTATAATTGCAGACCTAGTTTAGATCAAAACCTATGTTTAAAATTCATTAATTGCAGGAGCCCTACGGGGCAATAAAAATGATAGGGCTTTTGATCGCATGAGAGTTGCGATTCCACCGGTGGATTTTTCAGCAAGGTAAGATAGCCTTCAACTTTCTAATTATATGTGCCATGGGCACATAGCTGACGTGGCGCTTGTTTCAAAGGAAAGAAGATTAGTGTTTGTAAAGGTGCACCTAAGGCATTTGGTCATGCACTTTATGATGAGGCACAATAAGGTGCACAACAGTTTTTTTAAGAAATTTATATATTATTTATTATATGTGCCTCACTTCAACGAGGCGCGCCTTAGAAACAAGTGCGCTGGAGCCTTTTTATACATTGGAGAAGAAAATTTGGTGGTGTGGGGGAGGGGGGTGGGTGGGGGGAGAACTTCAGAGCTGAATATTTGGTTGACATTGGGGCATGGAAATTTGGTTCTATTATCACACTCCATGTTACATTGACACAGGTACGGGTATCCGATATTGGTACGGATCCAAGTGTCCGATACGTCATTCTTAAAAATTTAGGACACGGGGACACCGTCTTAAGTTTGGACTCGGGTACGGATAGGGGTGAGCAAAGACCCAGGGTACCCGGAACCGGTCTCACCGGTTCCGGGACTAAGTCCAAAAATTAGGACCCGGTTATAACCGGTTCCGGGTCCTGAAATTTCGGACCCGGTACCAACTGGGGTACCCGGTTGTTTAGTATGTTTAATTTTTTTTTTTTTTTTTTTTTTTTTTTTTTGTAAAAGTTCTAAATTTCTTATTTGGTTATATTCCTCTAACCCTCTTCCTCCACTCTCTTTCTCTCTCACCTTCTACCTTTCTTTACATGTTGTAGTATTCCATTTTTCTAAATTATTTTTTCTTGAATTCCTCAGCTACCCACAAAATTATTCACTATTATTTAACTTTTAGAGGGAAAAAAAAAAGCAAGGAAAAAAAAAATTCCCCTTGTTTCCCTGAAGATTTAGGGTTTTCTGTTCAATTTTCAAGGAAATTTCAGGGATTTTATCTCAATTTCAGGTGTGTTTTTAGTTTATTTTTTATGGATTTTTGATTTTTTTGGTTGATCTCTTGGTGGAAGTGGCGGCGGAGGAGGAGGGAGAGAGGGTTTTTGGGTGAGCGGGGGTAGATTCAGGGTGCTCGGTTGGGTTTCGGGTGGTTTGGGGGTGGGATTCAAGGTGCTTAGGGTAACGGGGTGGATTTCGCGGTGGTTTGGGGGTGAGTGAGCTTGGTTTTAGGGTGGTTCAGGGATTTTGTGGGTATTTGTGGGTGAATGAGGCTGGTTTCGAGTGGTTTAAGGCGAGGAGGTGGATTTCAAGGTGGTTTTGAGGTGAGTGGGGTGGTTTCAAGGTGGTTCAAGGGTGAATGGGGTGGTTTCAAGGTGTTTCATGGGTGAATGAGGGTGGGTTCGAGGTGATTCAAGGCCGATGAGGGTGGTGGTGGATTGGTGGGTGTTGGTAGTGGACTCGTGGTAGTGTTTATTAACCGGGTACCCGGTCTTGGAACCGGTTCCAACTGGTTCTGGGACCGGATCCAAGATCTGGATACCCGGTACAACCGGTTCCAGGACCGAGTCCAAGATCTGGATACCCGGTACAATTGGTTCCGGGACCGGGTCCTGTAAAATCAACCAAGTACCCGGTTCTACTCACCCCTAGGTATGGATACGACAGTAAAAGGAAAAGAAACGGATAACTGTGGCAAGTTCCCACAAAAATATTAACAATTTTTATTTTAAATAGACTATTAAATTGTATGATGTAGTACTACTACTACTACCTTTTTTTTTGTTTCTTTACGAAAGCTAGTACTACTATTACCTAATAATGCCAAATTTAATACTCGTATTGATACTGACAACTTTAAAAAGCATGCATTGAAATTTATTTAAAAAGAGAAAATGGAGTGCAGGTCCAATAAAAGACTCCATTCATATTTTATTTCTCTCTCCTCTCTCCATCCTCTATTGAATATGTTGAGGTTCACCATTTTTGAAGCTCCAAGACAACATTGCCATACCCGAGAGCCAAATGGTATGTCCGGATCGATGTTCGACCCGGGTATGACGGAAAATTGTCGTGTCTGGGTAACATAGATCACACTTGCCAACGCACTATTTAAACGATTTAATATCTCTAATTATAAACATTGTAAAATTGTAAAATTATCAAAGCAAGTCGATTGAAGTGGAAGAGTGTTGCAGGGTTCTTTATGTGATTTTGGCTTGCCTCATATTAAAAGGTAAATTTAATCAACCTGCATTGTTATATGACGCATTGTTAAATGATGCATTGTCATATGATACAAAGGTTGGCCTATGAAGCATTGTCACGTGCATAAGATGAATATGGCGGAGATGCGTATGTTACGATGAATGTGTGGCTATACAAGAAAGGATCAGTTCAGGAATGAGTTAATTAGGAATAAAGTACGGATTACATCCATTGAATACAAGATGAGGGAAAATCTCCTAAGGTGGTTGACCATGTTAAAAGGAGACCAAATAAGGCTCCAGGAGGCTTGAAGAGTGACAAAGTGTTAGGATCACGAGGGGTAGGAGAAGACCTAAAAAAAATTGGAAGAAATGATTAAGAGTAGGGGTGAGCAAAAATTCTGGGTACCCAAAATTGGAACCAAAACCGGTGGGTCTGGATCCGGAATTGGACCCGGTCGAGTAATCAATTAAGAAACCAGTTGCAACCAATTCCAATTCCAGTTCTCAATTTTTTGACCCGAAACGAGTTGGGTACCCGCTTACCCAATATATTTAACTAAATATATCTAAAAAACAAAAACAAGTTGAATATATATATATATATATATAAACAACTTCATGCATATATAAATATAAGTATTAAACGCTAAAAATGAAAATGGATCAAGATAACTATTATAAATTGTATTAAATTTTAGCAATTATGTACACAAAGTGGATACCCGGAAATTTTAGAACTTTAGGACCTGATTCCAATTTCAATTCCTAAATTTTAGAAACCGGTTGAAGTGGTTCCAATTCCAATTCCAATTCCGAATTTTAGGACCTGGTTCCAACCAAGGCCGGTTCCTAAAATTTTGACCAGGTACCCGATTTGCTCACTCCTAATTAAGAGTGACGAGTTTTTTCGGGATTGAGGATGTGCCATGAACGTTTATACTTTTTGTTTATTGTATTTTAGTAATTGCTTTTATTGTTTAGTCAACTCGTGTTTTGCGAACATTACTTATTTCCACGGTTTTCTCAAACATTTATGTTTTTACTTACACGTTTTTCCTCCCTTACCACTCTTTTGAAACTCTCGTAATATTTGTATACTCGATCTGTTTCTCACTTTACATTTTTTTTTCCAACTTTTAGCCAATCGATTGTTTTGCTATGCTCTTTTTCCAATCCCTTATAACATTCATGTTAGCCGACCCCATATAAATTTGGGACTAAGGCTTTGTTGTTTTTATATATTTTTTTTTAATACGTAAAGTGTCCAGACATTTTATGTGGTCGCTGTGTCTAATGTGTGTCGAAGTGTAGCCATCGTATCAGACACAGACACCAAATCTGAGTCGGAGTAACTTGTAAAAGCAAAAGAATCTATTCAACCAAAAGAGTAAACAAAACTTCAGCAGATTCCAGCAATTGGCCCAAAAATATGAGAACTAATTACCTGGGTAATACTCAACACAGCATCAACATGAATGTTAGAGCCTTCTCTTCGGAAAACTGGGTCTTCTCTGACCTGGGGTTCAATTTTGGTAAGATCATTGCAGCAGCAGAACAAGCAATGGCAACAGTAAATACCAGGAACAAGAATCAGCAAGGATACCTTAATGATAACATAAAGATCACCTGGCCCGTACCCATCAGGATCAGCCCCACCACTTCTAGAGACTTTGATAGTTTCATTATCATCCACACCTGTAAACATATGAAAATGTCAATATTGGTATGGAGATAGCATCCACGATGTAACAAATGTGGTTATCATCCAGCCTTAAGCTGGCCACTTCTAACCCATTATATAATATCCCACCACCAAAAGGAGGAGACATGGGAAAGCCATGGGGACAAGTTACTTAAAATATAAATAACCAACTGCTTATGTTGGTTTGATATAACTGCCTAGCTACTCCATCCAGAGAATTATAACACCAACACCACAGAAAACACAAATATAGGCCAGTTGCAATAACATTTAGGAAGTGCAAGTACTTCTAGTTGCCACTGTCCATGTAAAGTGACCTGTCACGTGTCAGGGCTTCATGTTTGATGTATGTTTGCAACACAGTGCAATCGTCTTTATCTGGAAGCTCCAGATTCATTATACTTGTTTAAATTACGTGTAGACACCTAATTGTGTCTCCCCAAATCCAAACTCAGTGATGAAGGACCTTTTACTGCTAGTTAGACAGGTTGGCATCAAAATTATGAATTGCTTGAACTCCTAGCCTATTTTAATTTTAATGCATCTTTTCCAATCCATTCCTAGCCCAAACATTCATTCAAACCTTCTTCCTATCCCAAGTCCACAAACCATAGCCCAATTTTCTTTTTTCGTGACCACTGCCAAAAACTGAGCAAAACTGATTTTTGAACCCCATAACTTTGATCCAATGATTTTGTTGAATAACCCTTGTAATAAGCTTTCCAATGATATATCATAAGCCCAATTCCGATTTAAAACGAAGAAGATATGAGCAAAACACAGAAAAATCGACACCCTTGCACTAGAACGGACATATATTTTAAAACCTACAAAAACTTTTCACCTAATTCAAATTGGGTTGGAAAGTAGACTTAAAGATCTTTCCAACGATATATTCTATGCCTTATTACGACTTATGGATCAAAGTTTATGGAAATTTTAAAAAAACACACAAAATCTACCAAATGTACCGCGCCACATTACAAAGCATCGTGTCACGGTACAATGCACCGTCGTACGGCACATTGTACCGTGTCACGGTACACAAACTCTATCCACAACACCTTTTTTTCCACCTTCTAGCCTATATATACGACCCTAATTCTAGGTTTTCGTATAGGACAAAAGAAAACAAGCATTAGACGACCAAAAACACAATAATTCAACCCTTTAATCACAGTTATACCTATTATAATCATCATTTTCAAGCAATTCGAAATCCCTTTAATTTAAACTTTATTTACTTTAATTTCATTCTTTCAATTTAATTATATTTTATTAAAGTTACTAATAATTTATTCATGATGTAGCAATTTATAGGAGCGCACGCAATATGAGTAATTAATTTATTATTACTTATTATTTTTATTTTTATTTTGCTATTATCATGATGGGGTTGATTTGAATACTTTAATTAATTTTATGACGTTAGCTTCCAATATTTATGACGTACTATTTTATTTATTATTAATCACCCTTTTGAATGTTTAATCAAGAATATGTATATGATTACACCCCTAATAAAATAATTTAGACAACCGTTGAGGTTCTCTTTTAATCTTGTGGACTTAATAAGTGATCACGATACTTAGAATTTTATGTACATTAACATTCAACCAACTTAGTAATATTAATTTGGAGCAAATTGAATATTGTTTGTATGTCTTTCGAATCGCAAAAAGTACTTTTTACAATAAGAATGGAATAGTGGCCAATGTAGGCGAAGTTAACTTCCATGACTCAACTTCGTACCATCATCCCGATCCTTCATCTGTGGTTCGTAACCATATGGAATTAGTAATCTCATGGATTATGAAAGGAGTGTAACCTTCATAGATTAAATCGTTGTTGCCTTTCGATTTGTCCTTTTTCCCGGTTGCCTATAATGATATATGAACGGTTTACAAGTTCCTTAGAAACTTATTAGCGACTTCCTATTTTTTATCCCTAATCGTATAATGTCAAATCCTACTTCCTATGATTGACAATCATATTCACAACATGCTTAAGTTGGAAGGGAAGCGAGCAGCCTCTAGGGCACCCACTACCCAAAGTTAGAGAAATAAAAAAATAAAAATGTAAAAAAATATATATATAAAGAAGCATAACGTTTCAGATCCTTAGAGGATGTGAAACAAATGAAAGAAAAAAAGTTGATAAAAGGTGATGATGAAGAGAGAGAATGATCGAATGAAAGAGGATCAAAGAAAGAGAAAAAAAGATCGAAGGAGAACTAACTTGGGAAGCTTGACAACAGCCCAGCCAAAACCAATTTCCCCAGTTCCTTCACAATTCACTAATAAGAGTTTTTATATTTACACATTGTGTGGATGGGAGGAAGGGAAGAGAAAGGGAGGGGGACTAGCCTTTTTTAGACTAAGGGTATACTATCGTAAACAATAGATTTTTCTTTCATTTTCACCATAGATCATAAAGATACCAAAATTTTAACATATACTTTAATATTCTTACTAAACTCTTAAATGTTAAGTAACCTTTATTTTCCACAACTCCAGAGTATAATTTGTGCATGATGAAATCACAATTGGAACTAGGGATGCTAAATCTTCGAGCCGAGCCCGAATAGTGGTAGGCTCGGCTTTAGCTTATTTCTCACACAAGAGGCTTGGCTCGAGTCGAGCTTTGGGAACTTAGGTTCAGCTAGAGCTTCAGACTCCAAACACAAGTTCGGCTAACTCGTATTTTTTAAGTTGTTTTATGCTTGGCTCAAGCTCGATTATAGGCTTCCACAGTTGAAGGTTGCTTGAAGTTGAGTTTATCACGGTAGAGAATTGATCGACAGTAAAGCACTAATCGAGGGTAGAACACCACCCTCAACGGTGGTCGTGAGTTAATAAGTGTTTGCCAGCTATGCGTGAAGATGTGCTTGTTTGAGCATATATTGAGTGTTTGACGGCTATCGCCGCCTAACGTCGTCGTGAGTTAATTGAGTGTTTGATGGGTATGCGGTGAAATTATACTTGTTTGAGTATTGAGTCTTTGACGGCTATGCGTGTAGATGGAGCTTTAGTTAGGAACTTCGGGTTAAAACAAACAATTGGGCTAGAAAGCCTGTAATTCTGTAAACCATTAAGCTCCACTAAAAATCTAACGTTTTTTTATTATTAAAAATATGAATATTACTGTAAAACTTTATAGGATGTGGCATTTAATATGTAAAATTTCATTTAAAAAATTTAAAGTAATTCATTTCTATTTTTAAAATTTGCTTTTTTGATATATATATTAATCCAGCCTGTTCACGAGCTTTTCGAGCCAAGCTTTGACTTGCTCGGCTCCGCTCGTTAAGGTTCCGAGCTGATCTTGGACTCAAGTCGAGCCTCTTCAGACCAAGCTTCGACCGAACTGAGTTCGAATAATTCACGAATAGCTCAATCTCATAGTCTCATTATCACCCTTGATTGGAACAAATCCATAATCAATAAATTTAAAAGTTTTACATGCTCCATCAATTTCTATGATACATCCCTTAAATTCATTAGGACAAAATTATCATCATACTGGCGAATATCAAACTCAAATTTATTCCCATCTCTAGTCTCACACCATTATTTGCAAACAAATCAAATTAAGCAAAGTTCACGCAAATTGGCAACCTAATTATTAATTTTCGGCAATTAGCATTTACTTCTTTTGGGAAATCCTCTTTGGTACTATTGTGTTTTTAATTTTCTCATTAGTGAAATGAAAAAACATATTACCTTCGGTAATCAATTATTAATATAAATTAACTATAATATTGATGATAAATTTTAATTAAAATTTTTAACTAGGTTATTTATTTTTTTAATAATTAAAAATTTATTTTTAAAAACCCACCACACCCCCCTTCCCCACCAACCCGCCCACCCCCTACCCCTAGAGCACCGGCTGTGCCCAAACCCCTCTCTTGCGGTACCCTACTCCCCGTCATGTAATACTCTGTATTTTTATATGTATATTAAATTAAAGTATTATTTTATGACGTATTTAAATTATTTGAAATGAATTATTTATGGTATTTTAATAATTCAAAAAGGTTTTATTTTATTTCAACATTCATTTTATTTATTTATTATATCATTTAAAAACTTTGGAGCATATTTAAATAATAAAAGGAAGTTTGTTAAAGTCAATGGAGTTTTAAAAGAAAGCCAGATGTCAATTTGAATGGGAATAGGAATCATTAAAGGGAAAAGGGGGAAATTAAGTTAGGAAGGTTTGAAAGGGAGTATAAATACTCATCTTATGAGCAAATTAGACTTTGCCCAAGGTGGACAATACCCAAAGGTAAGCTCTCTTTATCTCTCCTCTTATTTTCTTCTCTCCCCTTAATTTTTCCCCCTCCTTCACAAACACTCACACACACGCACCTCACGGTGGCCAGCCACCACCACTGCAGCCACCCACCTGCCGGCCACTGCCACCAGCGCGCACCAACAGCAGCCAGCCACCAGCGGGAGGCGCGGCAGCAGCCCTCTGCCGTATGTGTGCGTGCGCAAGCCTTAAAAAATAAAAAATAAAAAAAAAAACCTTCTCCTTTTTGTTTTTAATTCAATCTAGCTTTGATTAATTATTGATTTTGGGTGTGTGATATTTTATGATGTTTCAATAATGATTAATATGTATATAATTTTCAGATTTAGTTTTTGAATTAAAAAGCCCCAAGTTGTTAACCCTAGGTTTCTAAATTGATGTTTTATTGATGGAATTTGATTGCGGTTGATTAAAACTATTGAAATTAATGTTTTAAAACTAAATTACAGCAAGTTTAAGAGTTTTTATAATGCTGGAATTTTTATGTAGAGGCTAGAATTATGTTTCTGGAAAAGATTTTTAATTATCCATTAATTGGGAATAAAAAGTAGGTGATTTTAATTAATTTTCAGCATGTTTTAGAAGGTTTAAAAGTGTTTAAAAGAGTGTAAATATTGCTGAAAATTTATTATGAATAGCTATTAATATCTCTTTGTAATTTTGGGTTGTAGGAGACTTCCAAGTGAGTGATTTTGTGTAGTCGTGACGATTTTGAGATCACATTCGAGATACGTTCGCATACTCGGTAATTATTTAAGTGTGTAGAAGCATGCTAGGATTTCATGACATGTATTGATTGGAATTGTTGGTTGGATTAATTTTGGTGATTGATTTGCAAAGCATGAATTATTTTAGGTGAATTCCTTAATTGGAATTAATTATGTTGACATGTTGAATATGGACCACACTTTTATTATTGGCATGATAAAGAGCATGTTTAATTAAACTAAATGTTTAATTTTGTTTGGATTATGAATTATTATGGTTCATATAATTTTTATTGATGCTATAAGCATGAGGAAGGAGCTATTTAAGTGTGTTAGGGTGTTTTAAACACCGAGAAGGAGCTATATAAGTGCACTTAGGGTGTTTTAAACACCGAGGGATAGGATTTGTGGTGCAATATGCGCATAAGGTATTATTTAACGCTGAGATAGTTTAAAAAGGGTTCAACATTAAATTAAATGTGGTCACTAATTATTCAAGAATTAAATTGGTATGTTTGACTGCTTGAATGAATTATGTATGTTGGTTGTTTTATAATTTGAGAGTTATCACAAAGTCTAAAATATATAAATAACGTAAAGTGAAAGAGGTTACGCACCAAAACTCTTGGAACGTATATACCTTAGTATGAACATTATGGGGGGAGTTATGCGACTTTATATTTAATCATAACTTCTACTAGGAGTACCATACGCTATATTTTCCTTTTTATTATTATGCGCACGAATTCCGCCACTTATGAGTGGTTCTTTTATACTGACACGGTTAGCTCCCGTGTTAGTACCCCTTTATTGGGCAGGTTAGGGGGAAACCTGTTTGATGCGTAATAAAAAATTAAATAAGCAATGGAAATGTCTATTAAATGAAATGTGTGTTGTATGCTTGTAAATAGGTACAAGAAGGTAAGTTGTGCTAGGATATATGCATGTTAGTGTGAATCGTTTACGCTTATGTACTCGGCATTGTTGATTGTGTGTATTGTATGTTTGTTGGCCTTGTCTTTATCTTGGCCCTACGACGACTAATTTTTAATGGCGAGTAGTGGGGACAAAATAAAGAGAAGTTTTTCAGGTGATAAGAGCATTTTTATGATGAGTATGAGTGAAGAGCGAATCTTGTTTAGCTTCTATAAGAATATGATGTGTTTAATTTGCTTTAATTATTGTATATTTGCGTATGAGACTAACGCAATGATTTTAATATTTATTTGGGTTTTGAAAAGGGCCTACAATGGTTCCAAGTTGTAGGTTGACTTCGTTTGACTGTGGTTTGACTTTACTTTCATTTGATTTGACTTTTAAAGTTACTTGTTTTGAATGTTTTTAAGAAGAGTCTTCCGCTGCGTGTCTGTGATAATTGCCTTAGCAGTTTTCATGGTGGCGGTAATGCTTTAGAATTTTTTAATTCGTATTTTAAAAAAAGCAAACAGGTATTTTAAGGGAAAGGAATTTTCACGGTGTTACATATTGCCCCTTCCCCTCCCCCCTTAATGGATTCGAATACCACGATGATAACGAAACAACCGAGCTAGCGTCACAACGGTGCGCCCGACGGACTCTCATAAACAAGGAGTAGACCCCAAATTACGCCAAGTTCGACACGAAGAAGACAAGCTAGCTCTATCTCTATAGTTCAAAAGGGCGAAAAGCTAGATTACCGTATAATTTGGCAAGGTGGTCCAATCGACGGCGATGCCAATTGGGGAGGTGGGTGCAACGGAATTTGCGTCTAGATTAATGGGTAAGATAGAATGAGGAAATTCGGCATCGTTTTTCATACAAATGAAATTTGATGATTTTATAAGTATGAGTTTGCTAGGAAGGAGCTTTTCTTTGCCTTTCTTAGCCACTTTCCGACGAACCCTTCTACTCATACAAATGAAATTTGATGATTTTACAAGTGAAGGTGAGAGAATAGAAGTTGGATTTTTCTGTTTTTGAGGGTTTAATGAGAAACCTGACTACAGGTAGGGAGAGAAGGAAAGACAAGCGATGGGGGTCAGGGCGGCGTAAGCACTAGAAGAGGGGGGTTAGCTAGCAAGTGGGGGAGGGGAGTGGTGGGTTTTATTATTTAATTTTCTTTTAAATAATTTGATTATTTAAAAAAAAAATAAACCAACCCTATTAAAGATTTTAATCAAAATTTAACATTAATGTTATGGTTAATATTAATAATTCATGATTATCAAAGATATTTCCTCCGTAACTCCGTTTTTTATTAGATGCATTTTTGTAAAAAATTTTCTTTATCTCTCTCTTATTACATGGGCCCTCTTTATTTTTTCTCTTTCTCTCTATACTCCAAAAATTGCCTAGGAACCCGCAATTATATAAGTGATGCATCTAAATAATAACGAAGGAAGTAATAAGCTTTTTTGCATTTCACCAAAGAGAATTTAAAAACACAAGAGTACCAAAGAAAATTTTCCTTTTTTCTTTTTTTTAAAAACAAAATTAGGTAAGTAGGGAGAACTCACATTTAATGATAGTATAGTCTTACAAGGCAACGACTTCTAAGTTTGATCTTAGGAGCAACGATCCTAAAACCCCGATTAACAAGAAGTTAGAACCTTAACAAAGTTCTCTTTAAGAAAAAGCTCAACAATCTTAATTTTTATCATAAAATGTCCAACTAAAATCCATTGTAGCCTTCTTAGCTTGAATTATACATAACACACAGCCAACCCACAGTCCAAATCCCAATAACAAAAACACATGTTGACAAAGATTGGAGACTAAAGTAACAATAATCATAAATACCACGGTACCCCCCCCCCCCCGGCCCAAAAAAATAAGAACAATAATATAATAAGATAAGGTCATAAAACATTTTAATAGATACACATAACCAGCTATAAACAGAAACACGCATAATCTGCTAGTAAACAAGAAGCTTTTACCAGGAATAATATCCAGTCGAACAGACTTTGATCCCAGTACCACTCGATTACCGTTGCAGGACTTGCAATATGTCTGTATGCCGCATATCAAAACCAAAAAAAGATTTGTCAGATTCAGCATATTATTCACCACATGCAATGTCTGAATGCCACATACCAGGGAGGTACTCACAAAAAATTTAATTGAATCAGCTAGATAATGGTTCACCACGAGAGAGAAAAAAAACATTTTGGCAAAGACATCCCAAATATGTATGAAGCTTTCAAGGTAAAGAATGGTAATTTATCAGCAATAAGGATGCTATGAGAAGAAACCACTAATGTCAAATACAGCGTGAACATATTAGTTGTGGTGTGAAGACTACATGAGAATATTGTTGCAACTAAAAACTATTTCAACCGTTCTATATAAATTCAAGGCGTTTGGAGAATAAATATATATGAGAAGCTCATGTCTTTTTGCATGATAGTTCCAGTAGGTACTGTTCTTGAACTACTACAAATAACTTTGAGTCGCATTGGGCAACGAAATTGCATCCAGAAAGGAATTGTGGCAGAATAGAAATAAACGGTGCAGAATATTTACAGATTCTTGATGATTGGTAATATTGAGATAATAAAAGGGGGGGAAAGGGGGGGGGGGTAAATATTTAATGTTTTGGCTACATGATCATCAAGAAAATTCTTTACTTTATGCGGGGAGGAGGGGGGGTGACATTAGATCCATTTAACATGAAGCATCACAGCATAGACAATCAATTCTTAAGCATTGAAATTCAAAAATAAACATAAGGAAACAGAATGTACCGTATATGTTTTCCCAGTTCCATTACAATTGATACAAGTAGTCTGAAAGGCAATTGGACCTTTTTCCATGAACATCTGAAAATCAAAAATACAAAACATCGGGATTAGAGATCATAATTTATGTGTAATCAGATTAAGAAAGAAAAAAAAAAGATTGTGCTTTATTTCACAGACCATGCCTTTTCCTCTACATCGTTTACATGTCTCAGGTTTGGTTCCAGGAGGAACACCTGTTCCCCCTAAAATAGATAACAAAAGACAAATATGTAAGAACTGGAGCTAGCTGATAAAAACATGCAGTTTTGGAGTACAAAAAAATTAATAATAAAAGAGAGAGATTAGAAATACACTACTGGGGGAAGGCGAAATAAACATACCACAAGCTTCGCAGTTTAAAGTTGTTTGATATTTCACCGTTTTGGAGCATCCCCGAACAGCTTCCATGAAGGATAACTCTAAAGATAACTTCACATCTTGGCCCGTTCTTTGTGTAAAAATGTCAGAAAACTGCACTCCACAAAAAGTCAGAACATCACTTTTGACATTACTGATGGATAAATACTCACATTCTTATTTAGTGTTCAGGTATGAGACATGTGAATTACAGAAGCATGGGTGTTAACCAGAAACAGCAAAGGATGAATACTACAAAATGAAACCTCCTTGCCACCTATTTTACATGCTACTAGGCAGCAAAAAAAAGGCTCAAGTCACTAGATGCAGTTGTTTCATGCTTAGAAGCAGCCAAAGAGCCCCAAACTGAATTTTCTGTTCAAGCAAAGGTTGCAACACATAGATGTGTAGATAGAAACGTGCACAAAAACCATTAAAAACACAATGCCAAGTGCAGTACACCCTGATTAGGTCTAGAGAGAAATATGTAGGCATTGTTACCCTCAAGGCTAAAACAAGCCCAAAAGTCACATAAAACAGAGCATGAAAAAATTTGAAAATTAATAAATAAATGATAACATTGCACTCCTACCAGTGGACACACCCCATTTATCAATAAGAAATGGCTTAAGTCAATCAATAAGCAACTAATAAACAATATTGTGCAAAAATTCAGAAACCAAATTTGGCTATCTTTTGGCATTTTCTGAGTTACTTTCCTCAGAGCATCAAAGTGTTAAAATAAATATCAACTCAAGCACTACTATGCTCACATATTTTCTGGGTAATTATCAAGAGCACAAATGCAACTTAAATATCAACTCAAGCACTACTATGCTCACATATTTTGGTTTCGTTGCTTAAAGGTTGATGGCTTACCACAATCCAACACCGAGGGGCAATGTGGAGGAGTCACCAACAATGCAATGTGCGTGTGCGTGTGCGTGTGCACGAGTGCGTGTAAGTGTGTGTGTGCACGTGCGCGCGCGTGTTAATTTGGGTAAAATGTGCACATTTTATTATTTTCCCAGGAATTTATATTTTCAACTTAAAAATTTATAATTATGCACATGCATCCTTCATTTCAAATAAGAAATGGTGTTAAAATGAGGTGGACACAATGAGAAGCGTATTAAAATGAATGTCATTTGCAAATAAGTGGAGCTAGTAAGAAGTTTCTTTAAAAGAAAGATACGATTTTTGATTGACCAAAAAAATTGAATTATTTTCAATGCATATTCAGTTCAAATAAGGAAGAGTGTTACAATGAGAAGGTTTTAATGTGCATAATTTTAAAACTAATTTTCATATATTTTGAGCTATTTTAAAATTTCTTTGACTCATTTGTTATCTACATAATTATTGACATAGTATTGTATAATTATGAACTATTTTTTATTTTTTTGCTCAAAATTTAACAAAAAAAAAAAAAAAAAAACAGCACATCCAACTTAGAAAATATGCAGATTCTAAATTAAATTAATAATAATACATCTCTCTCTCTCTCTCATTTCAAGAATCTTCTCATCATAAATTAGGAAAGGAAAAACTGTCAATATGACTTTTCACTGATATTCCAAAAATAAAAACGACTTTGATTATTCAAGAATAAAACGACCTTTGACAGGCACCTGCTTAAAATAGAACGTGACCGGTTGGTAAACGATAATAAGTTAATCGTGACACGTGTCACATTTTAATTGGTAGTTTTTTAAAAAATAATAATAGTAATTTTGTTTTTGAAAAATGATTTCAATTTTTTTTGTTTTAAACAAAAAACAATAGCCTCCCTCCCCGTCACAGCCACTACCACCGTCTCACCCCCACCCCACCCCCACCTTCACCCTCCAACAGCTATGAAACCCAAGCCCACCGTCGTCGAAAACCCCTACCCTAGCCCCCACCAACGCTGAAAACCCCATCACCACCCTCCACATGTCGTGCCACCCCCACCCACTACCCTTGTCGAAACCCTCAACTAGCCATGCACGACAAATGAAACCCACATCCCCACCCTCCAGAAAACCCCACCTCACTCCCCCACCTCACTTCCCACAAACCCCGAAACCTGACTGGACGAAGGTGGTGCTTGCGGGCCGATGGGGTGGCGAAACGGCGGAAAGAGGGAGGCAACTGAATCTCTGACGGGAAAGGGGTTGGTAAGGTCGTCGAATGGGGGGCTGAACGGGGAAGGGGATGAACAAGGAAGGGGAAGTGGAGGGGGAGGTGGAGGGGAATTCTTTTTTTTTAATAAGTTTTTTTAATAAAAATTAAAATAATTCATTTTTATTTTTTACTAAAAATTAAAATAATTCATTTAAAAAAAAAAAACGTTATGCCCTCTGTTTTGTAATAATCGCAACACTTTCCTTTTTCATTCGTTTCATAATAATTGCAGCACTTTCTTATTTATTACCCACAACTAATTTATTATTTCTCTCTCCTACAACCCCACTTACACTACTTTTTTTATTATTTCTCTCTCCTACTAACAATTAAATATGTCCTCACTAACTACATATTAAAAAATTCTCCTTTTGGTCCCAACCCTATAATTTTCCTAAAACTTTGTGCCCTCCTTATTATTGCAATTATTATGAAACAGAGGGAGTAAAAAAATCATAACCAATCATGATTGTCGGTTTAACCAATGAAATAAGTTACCTTTTTATTCTATTTATAGATGATGTGTGTCAAAGGTCGTTTTATTCTGGAATAATCAAAAGGTCATTTTATATTTAAAAGACCGGTGAAAGGTTGTATTATTCCCGACAATATTTCCATTAAGAAATGCTTACAAATGCCACATGGAATGGTAACTAACTTGTTAAAGTCAAAGGTGTGTACGGACAAATTTTGTAAGGCACTCCTAAAAGTTAGGACTTGATCGAAAATTGTGATTGTCTAAAGGATGTAGATAGTTAGGAATCTTGGGACTAATTATCGTCAATTATTCAAAAAAATTAAGTATTTGACATAAGACCAGTCTAACGTAGAAGGAAAATAAAGCTTTCAAGGCTGAAAGATACAAGGAAATTATGCATGTCATTCACAAATCCATTAGACATTAACATACTAACAAAACCAAATGAAGACATTAACACATCATTAGTTTCAGCAAAAAGGGAGCAGTGCCAGCGAGCACTATTTGTAAATGACACTCACTTGGTATCAGATGAACCAAGTAACAGGAATTTAAATCAATGACAATTAAACAAATACATGCATTCTTCAAATTAAAAAATAAATAAATAAAAAAAAGATTGATTCACAATCCTAAATCAACAGCCAACAGACCATATTTATAAGAAGAAGAAAAAAAGAAAAAAAAAAAAAAAAAAAAAGCACCTCATACAGAAAATTACCAGTTCCAGCATTGCACCACAGACCAACAAATTGCAAATTAACAATAGCCAAATTTAGACCAATACTGATATAATAACTGTGTGCAGAAAAATTTAATATCCTTACATTGAAAGGATTGAAATTAAAATCCTTAAAATGGAAATCACTGCTCCCATATGAACCAGAACCACCAGTTTCTTTGCTTTGTACAAAGGCATCATGGCCCATCTACAATAAGCAGAGAGGGGGGAAAAAAAAATCATTAGTTGTTAGAAAAAAAGGTGCTCTACTTAAAATTAAAACAACAAACAGCCACAGATTCACAAGATTGCCAAAGGAATTGAATCAAAACACCTTCAATTACCCATCTTGTCTGTTTTGTGGAAGAGAAGGGTGTTAATTAATTGATTTCTTTATGTATTTGTTCAAGTAAAAATATACTTCGTATAAATAATAATCACTTCTGGTTCATGTAGCCGACCCCACTTATGGGATTAAGGCTTTGATTGATTAATTGATTGATATAGATAAATAAATTGGACAGCAAGAACTAACTACATTACCAACAATCCCACCACTGGCCACCATCATGATCAGCCTTTCTAATCACAATGGGCAGTACACACGCAGTAGTTACGCCTACCCGACACCATCTCAAACCTCCCTAGCCCACAACCCGAGTCCATCACCACCTTTTTCCCTCACCATCCCAGTAAAATAAAAGCGACAGCAACAACCTGCTACAATCCCGCCACTGACTACCATCTGTTAGCCTTCCCGATCATCATGGGCAGAAAATACACCTACCGGACACCTTCTCAAACCTCCCTAGCCACAACCGACAGTGCATCACCACCTATTTTCCTCCTCCCAAGCCCCCCAAACTCATGCCTTCGTATGGCTGTGTCTTAAGCTCTTTATTACTTAAATTTGGCCAAAGAGGCCAAATTAAACCATTGTAGGATAGGATACGATAGTTATTGTGCTCTTGAAGTTTGAGTAAGTGTAAGGCTGGCAACATAACAGGGTTTTGGATAAGTTTTGACAAATTTCAGTTCTGAGGCAGAATCTGGCTAGGAGGTACACCAGAGACCATAAACTAGATCAAGAAGCACCGGGAAGAGAGAGAGAGAAACAAAAGATCAAGTGAGAGATATTTACAGCTGAGATCTATGCACTGGAGGTGTACCAAAGACCAGGAAAGCTAGGTTGGAATTCTTGGCTGAGAGTATGAGAGTTAGGGTGTGTTCTATTCACCAGAGATTTTCACTTATCTTCACTAATCTGAACTTATTTGAATTTATTAGACCTTATTAAAACTTGTTTAGTTGTAATTTGTACTTGGCTAACCCTTATTATTACTTATTTTTCCTGAATTAAACTACTTAACTGAACTTATTACACCTAAAATAAGTAAAATAAGGTGAACAGAACAGACCCTTAGAGTACACGGAGAATATAAGTCCCAACGGTGTGGTGGGGTTAGGGATATATCAGGTTAGGGGGGGTGTTAGCAGAAGTCCAAAAATAAATGAAAACGGGAAAGGAAATGTTAAAATAGGCTCAAAATCAAATTGACATGGCTCCAAAAGAGATGTGCCTACATTGCAAAAAAATTGTACAAGCAAGTCATAAATATTTACAGCTAAAATGATCTCAAAAAGGCCATTTTGAAATAGCTTAGCTTCTGTTACAAATATAACTTCCATACTACGTTAACAAAAATATCTTCCACCAAGTGTCGTTATGCCATCCTCCAGAGTCAAGAATCAACCTATAAGAACACCCAAGGCGCACAACTACCAAGTTCTAACTCTTCTAAGCCTACTAGACTATTAGTGCACAAGAAATGTATATAAAAGTATAAGCAGGTGATTCCTAGAAAAAGATCTTCAATAAAAGAAAGCAATCAATTTACATCTAAGACTTTTTGCACAGACATTCCTTTGTTTCAAATCACCTTAAAAAAAGAGTAAAATGAGAAGCTTAAAATACTGAAGACATGATAAGGTACTGAGGAAAGACAAGATACTGAGGACATCATTGAACTAAACATTCACACTAACATCTGACATTATACTGATTCCTCGCAACGTTTCAGTTCTGGATAGAATCTTAGCCAACATTTGGAACATAATCTAAATAGTAGTATCAAATTAAGCACACACACAACACACGCGCACACACGCACACACACACACACAACTTCCAAGTGATATAACCCTCACAATTTCCAAGTGATATAACCCTCACAATCAACTTCCAAGTGATATAACCCTCACAATTTCCAATTGTGACATAACCAGGAACTAATGCATCTGATATGCTAATCATGAATTGCAAACTCCTGCTTACCTGATCATAAGCTGCACGTTCTTGCTCATCTTTCAAAACCTATAGATTGACAGAATAAGATACTATGCACCTGAATATATTACTGTTGTATAAAATGAAAGATGATTTAACTCTACTTTAGGACAACAAAAAATACCTCATGGGCCTTATTGATCTCCTGAAACTTTTTATCAGCATTGGGGTCGTCTTTATTCATATCTGGATGATATTTTTTTGCTAACTGTAGCACAATTTCACCCATCAATTGAAGGAAGTATAAATCCGAAAAAATACGAAGTACAAAGAAAAACATGGGCATCATCAAAGTATTCATATTTATTGCCTTCACTGCCAACATTTTATTTTTCTTGTATGTACATTACTTTTTTTTAATAAAGTAAGAGCACAAAATAGTCTTTCCCAAACCACAAAACGGAAAGTAATGACCTTTGAACAATGAATAAATATTAATTGTTCCATCAAAAGATGTGAGCTGAAAGCATACCGCATAGAAAGCTTTCTTGATTTCAGATTGAGTTGCGTTCTTGCTCACACCGAGGATGTCGTAATAATCTTTTGACATAACAGCTATCAGGAAACAATCAAAGTTGGTATCAAGATTCTATCCATAGACTTTGCACATCATAATTTCTATGAGAGCTACATTTGAGCTAGTATGCAACTGCCATGAATCAAACGAAGCTATGGTTGAATGTAATTTACTAATGAATACCTGAGCCGTGAATCAATCTTATAGCACCAAATACTCCATTTGAAACTCCATGATGCAACCACATATTGTCAAGGACTTCTCACAATATAAAAGCAAAAATCAGTACTCTACTATATATAGGGGCTCCGAAAAAGCTAAAACCAGAGTTGAAGGTACCATTTTTATTGCAGGGGCCACCAAGAATCCTAGTTAATCCACAAATAGACGTAGAAAACAATCGTTGTTGAGCAGCAGCTAACAGTTTATATTCCTGCAAACAACAAATTTACACAAAATTCATCAACCCCATTTAACAAAGACATAAAAATGAGGAAAGCACCAGAACCCATAAACCACAGAAAAACCCTACTCGACATGATGATCAAAATGACAATGAAGGTACCTTGTTGGGGAGAGAATGGAAGTGACTACAATGATGATAGTTGTGCTGATGAAAGGGAGATATAAAGTAGTTTTGGCACAGAGTGGTCGCAGTTCTCGACGCTTTTCCCAAAACCCTAATTAGCGACATCTTCAAAGCTTCTTGTCTCAAAATCTAGAGCGGGAGATGGAGGTTCAACAATTTAGACTTTTAGAGAAACAAAGAAGCACAAACAGCTTTGTCTTTGCTCAATCCACCTGTTAAACCATTCAACTAAACCACATCATTTAAGACTTTCAAATTCTCTTTACTCAATCCATATTAACAAGCCATGAACGAGTAATAAAACCAAGACATAGTAAAATAATTTAATCAATTCAATTCACATACCTTTTCGCTTCCAAGATTTACCCTTGCATGTTAATACATACATAATAATAACCGCAACATAAATTTCCAAGCATACTTGTCGCAATAACATGTGATACAAGTACAATGGCCAATCATATCACAAAGTTCATTCAAGAATCATAAACCAAGCACATATAACATTTCAATTTAATTAACTCCAAATCCACAAGTCCTCTAAACATGCTACTAGGTTCTTTCTAGTCCCTAAGCATGCTACTACAATAAGGTCTTCTACGTACCTGGAACTGAAAACTTGAAAGGCCGCTTATTCACTAGGACTCGCTTTCTACAAAGCTTCCTCCTAGGCCTTGAACTGAAAACTTGAAAGGCCGCTTATTCACTAGGACTCGCTTTCTACAAAGATTCCTCCTAGGTCAAAAGATTAATAAAACTCAATCATTTACCCATAGAAGTAAACTTAAAGGGGTTACAGCAATATTTATTCACATTAAAACCTCTAAAGACCATTAAACAACACCTTTGAACCTTCCAAATCAACAGTTTAAGGATGGTGCTTCAAGTTCCCACTACACTAATATAATTATAAAATACCACTAAATTTATACAATTCCAGGAATTTAAAGATCGTAGAGAAATTTGAAATTTTGATTTAATCATAAAATATAAGATTTTAACACTTTAAGTTTATGGAAAAATCGAAAACAATAATCTCACCTTTGCTTGACCTGCTACAGTTATCTCAAAACGAGCCAACCTTTGAGTATTTTGGGAACAATCCCACCTTTGGCCCTATTTTCTCAAAATAAGCCTTTAACGGTATTTTAAATTGGTAACCAATTTGTGAAGTTGACTTGCCATGTGTCACTTTCCAATTGGTCTTTTTTTAATAATAAAAAAACAAAAAACAAAAATAATTAAAATAAACAAAACAAATTTTAAAAAAAAAAAAAATTAGCCCCCTTCTTCCCCGTCACCCCAGCACTGCCCTGCCTGCCCCCGTCCCCGCCCCATGCCCCCAGCGCCGCCCCCGCCTGTACGACTGCCCCTTCCACGCGTTGCCTTCCCCTTCCCTGGCAGCCCATCATTATGAAATTGATGTCTTAACAGAAAGTATTGCCTTTTTACTCAATTCACCATGTTTTTAAAATGATGTAGTTGGAGGTCAAATTAAAATGATGGATTTGCAAGGGAGTTACGAGGGGTGGCAGCAGCGTCGTGGTGGCTGGTTTGGGCATGAAATTGGTGGTTGTTGCTATTATTGGTGGGAAGCAAGGGCTGCTTTGTTGAAGGTCAGAGTGTGGGGGTGAAAATCCGTGGTGGCTGGTGGGGTTTATGGGGTGGGCTGCTTTTTTCGAGGTGGCTAGGGAGATTTCGGGGTGGCGGGGTGGGAATCTGTGGTTGCTGGTGGGGTTTCCTGGAGTGGGGGTGGGGTTTTCGAGGTGGCTGGTGATGTTTTGGGTTGGAGTGGGGTTTTTGGGGTGGCTGAGTTGGATTTTTTCGGTAGGGGTGGGGTTTTCGGGGTGGATTCCAGGGTGGGGGTGCCAAGGAAGGCGGCTGGGCGTGTGGTTATCAAAGAAGGTGGTTGTGTTGTGGTGGTAGGCAGGGAGAAGAGAGATTAAAGGAAAAACTAAAAAAAGTTTTAAAAATAACAAAATTAACCTGTTAAACAGGTTATAGGTTAAAAAAAGCTTGTTTTGAGAAAACAGGGGGTAAAGATAGGCTCGTTCCCAGAATACTCAAAGCTTGGCTCGTTTTGAGCAGGTCGAGGGTGGGACTATTATTTTCAATTTTTCCTAAATTATCATATAAACATAGTAGTCACTTATCATAAACCCAAAGAAACATTCATTTTTATGATTAAAAGCCCTAAAATCACCTTTATAATCTGAAAATTAACTTCAAAATTAAAACTTGCAACTTCAAATTTAAACAACCACAATAGTACTAATTTAGTTTCTTGATAAATTCATGTGTTTTTATCATCTACATATATAATAATTAAACTAATTAAAACCAAAAATAAAAATTAAAACAAGTAAAGCTTCTAAGTGGCAACAATGGTGAAACAAGAAAAAAATGGAAGAACAAAGGGAAGAAACCGGCTGGCTGAGTGACAGCGTGCAGGTGGCGCGGCTGGCTGGGTGGCAGCTTGCAAGTGGCGCGGATGGAGGCGGTGGTTCGACAGCGTCAGGGTGTAGCGATGACGCCGGGGTTGTGGAGCGCGGTTGTGTGCGGGAAGGAGGAAGAACAAAGGGGAAGTGTGGAGAAGGTGGAGTACGTATAATTTGAGGGAGAGGAGAGAGACAAAATCATGGATGGAAATGTATAGCGAATTTTTTTGTTTAATAAAGGAAAAATTGTTTTTTATAATTTCAATTTTAATTTTGTCCGAACTTTGAATTATAAGTATACTATGTTAGAACTCATGCAATGCACGATTGATTTAAAATCTATTTTAAAAATTATTAAATATGGTAGCTCCACTAAAAAATCAAAAAATAGCGGGAAAAATTTTTTTATGTGAGTGACATGTGGACAGTAATGACGTCAGCAACGTTTTGTTTTAGTAGTATGGTTAATAAATTATCTCCGTTATTTTAAAGTGTTACACAACTTACCCTTTAACCAAACATAGTTTTACAATGAATAATTGACTTTAATATTAATTAATATAAATAAAATGCAAGGTTCTCTACATCTTGAAAAGAATAATTTCGGTTCAGTAAAAATAATTTTATAGAAGAAATATAATAGAAAATCATTAAATAAATAATTTTTTTGAAACAATCATTAAATAAATAATTTCATTTCATTATTTTAATTTCAGTTCAGTAAATTTTATTTGAATTCAGCAAAAATAATTTTAATTTAGTAAAAAATTATTTCAATTTAAGAAAAATAAGGTGAAAAAAATAGGGCCTAAGCCGGGTAGTTCGATAATTAAAAATTATAGCAATATTTATTAGAGTTAATATTTTTTTTGAAAATTAAGGAATGTGAGATGGAAAGAAATCTCTACCTTTAAAAACGTGTGAGAAAAGACTTATGAACAGTGTGAGGACAATTACATCCTTAAAATGTTAATTTACATATATGCCCCCAATTGATACGATGTTAATTACTATAGAATAATTTCCTCTAAGCTTTTCTTCTTTCTTTCTTTCTTCTTTTTCCTTCCTTTTCAACCTTTTTACTCTACTGAAGCGACCTATGAGATCTATCAACCAAAAAAATACGAGTTCTCCATTGAAGCGCCTAACAAACTTTCTCCCTCCATTAGAGTGGTTGTTGAGGTAAGGTATGTAAATTTTAAAATTATGGATTAAATATCAATTTCACAATTTGGGTATATCGTTGACTTAATTGGTATATTAGAGACCCAAAATCATAATGTTCCCCCTTAACAAACACCCCCCCCCCCCGCGAAACGCGGAAAAAAAAATGAACAAAACACGTGTGGTAAATGATGTTAATCATAAATAAAAAACAACACGTTCATAGCTTGAATTATGAACATACAATACATGATTGCGGAAGTGTTAATTTATGAGTATACCTCAGCCATTGCAAATTAACTGCGAGGAAGACAAAGACCCGAACAACCTCGTCACGACGCCAAAACCGTGAATGAACTCTTCTCAACTTTGGTGTTGGACCCTCACTCTCACTTTTGATGGTGTTTATGTGTTTTTGAGTGTTGGATGTAGTGACCTTGTTGCCGTGAAAAGACTCACGTTGAATGACATATATATAGGGAGTTTTGCCATCAAAAACTCCTATTTTACTTAGAGTTGGTTATGAGTGGTTTCCTAAGATAGTGGGATAATAGGCAATAAGTTTCCTTGATCGTGGGAAACTAATTTCCAAAATAAATGGACCACTTAACTAATTAATAATTATCTATTTTTCAAAAAAAATCCAACATTCTCCCACTTGGTCCATTTACACAAAAAAACTCAATATATGACCATAGCGACGAATTCCCTAATAACGAGAACTAATCTTCCATGTATCACAATATATTCAATTTTTCACCACTCATACAACTTTAATGAGTAAACCTCATGTTCACTCTAGGTCAAACAAAAAAAAATGACATTTCTTTTTGAAATAACTAAATTTCCAAAAGTACGTACATAAATTCAATATAATGCAAGAAATATCAATACCAAATGAAAAAAGGTTTCGATACAACAAACAAATGTTTCACATGACGGAACCAAGTCCCATCTTTTTTACATGACCCTAGAAACCATTAGCTGGAATGCCTTTGGTCAAGGGATCAGTAATCATCAATCCAGTACTAATGTGTTCTATGATCACGTTCTTTTCTTGAACACATTCCTTTACAACTTAAAATTTTATGTCAATGTGTTTGCTTTTACTTCCACTCTTATTATTCTAAGCCATAAAAACTGCAGCTGAATTGTCACAATACGTCACAATACATCCTTATTGGGCGAATGATAGAGTCAACAACTCTTAACCCAGATATGAAACCTTTTAGCCAAACACCATGTGAGGTAGCCTCATAACAAGATATGAACTCAACCTCCATAGTAGAAGTAGAAATGGGTCTGCTTCGCACTCCTCTAAGAGACGGCACCATCAACTAGCATGAACACATATCCTGAGGTGGGTTTTTGTGAGTCAAAGCAGCCACCGTAATCGGAGTCAGAATAGCTCACAACTTCAAGATCTTCTGTTCGTCTATACATAAGCATGTAATCCTTAGTACCCTGAAGGTATCTCAATACTTTCTTTGTAGCCTTCCAGTGATCAAGACCTGGGTTACTCTGATATCTCATCAATACTCCAACAACATATGCAATGTCAGGTCTAGTGCAAACCTGAGCATACATAATACTTCCAACAACTGAAGCATATGGAATATTTTTCATTTGTTCCTTCTAGCTCAAGGTCATTCTTGGGACATTGGTCCAAAATGAACCGATCACCCTTTACAATAGGTGCTATACTTGGTGAACAAATTTTCATATTAAATCTTTTAAGTACTTTGTTGATGTAGGCCTCTTAAGACAGACCCAAAATGCCTCGAGATCTATCTCTATGTATCTTAATGCCAATGACATAAGATGCCTCACCCATATCTTTCATATCAAAACTACTTGCACTACAAAAAAATGTCCATATAGAAACGGAATTCTAGCGACGGAATTCAATCCGTTTTTAAATTAGAGACGGAATTAAATAATCCGCCTCTAAATTAATTTAGAAACGGAATAAAAAAAATCTGTTTCTAAATTAGAGACGGTATTAAAAAATCCGTCTCTAAATTAGAAACGGAATTGAAATCCGTCTCTAAATTAGAAACGGATTTTTTCCCGTTGCTAATTAGAAACGGATTTTTTTCTGTTGCTAAATTTAGAGAGGATTTTAATTTTCCGTTGCTAAATTAGAGACGGATTTTTTTTTCTGTTGCTGATATGAGCGATGGATTTTTAATTTCGTCTCTAAATTATTTTCGAAACGAATTATGTAAAATATTACTGTAGAGACGAATTATGTAAACTAAAATACGTCTTTAAACTAGAAACGAATTTGAAAATCCATCTATGAACTAGAGACGAATTTGAAAATTCGTTTCTAAACTAGAGACGGATTTTAAATTCCGTCTCTAATATTTATTTCACTGATTATCAATTATGTGCGTAGAAGTAAACAAATAATTTGGTATAGTTGGTAAAAGTTTCACTATGTGACTTTGAGGTCACGGGGTCAACTCCTACCTATTGCGATTCTTGAGATTAGGGATTCAAGGAGTCTTACATGCAAAGCTGAGTCGGGTTGATGGCTCCACAGGAAAACAAGTCTTTCTATTCCTAATTAATTAATATAATCTAAACTATTAAGTACCAAATTAGGGGAATTAAACTAAGGAGAATAATTAAACTAAAGCAAATTAAACTAGGGAGAAATCAATAAATCAAAGCCTAGGGTATAGGTTCACCAATAAATAATATTCCAGGGTAAAGCATAACAATCAATTATCAACGCATCAATTAATCAGATTATAAAGGGCTTTCGCTATATTACAATAACAAAATTAATCTACCGGTATTAAATCGCATCTCTCGAATCTTGACTTAACCATTTATAAATTAATCTGTCTATTGAAACTAAGCCTAAACATCAATTCTCATCTCTCGAATCTCAAATCAATATTGCATAACTCATACAATTAAACCATGCCTAATCTAATTGCATAGAATTAAATCAATCAATAGGAAATCAATCAAGCATTGACAATCAACAATAATAAATTACCCCTTCATATTATTTATGGATCCCCACAACCCTAGAAATAAAACTACTCACACATATTTAAATCTAAACTAAGCAAAACAAATAAACAAGACATAATTAATCAAAGCAATTAAATTACTGAAAATAAAAGGGAAAGGAATCGTTACCAAAATAAACAGAAATATAAAATTGCATAAACCAAAAGTGTTGAGAGAACAAGAGTATTAACCAAAAGCTTAAAGCCAAAATCTGGAAATTAACTAATGAAAGACGTCAGTGAAAATCTCGCTTAGCAAAGCGTACTTATATACATAAGATGAAAATCCTAAGACTAATCGAAGTGAAAGAATCGCTAATCACCCCTCAGAAACACGCGCCCGGTCAGGCGCCATCTCACCTGGTCGGGGCCCGCCTTTAGCTGGGAGAGTGCTTCGCTCGCGCCCGATCGGGCGCGCCTCAGGGCGTAGGACACTTCTCTTCTATATGCCTCGCCCGGCCAGCGCGCCTCAAGGCGAGGGCTACCCAGTCGGGTGAGCTTCTGGGCAACTTGGACATCTTAATTGGGCTCTTAACTAGTCCAATCCGAATTTCCTCTTGGGTCTTTAAGAATCGGTCCAATGCCTCGGACTCTTCTTCTTCACCGAGCCCTTAATCACCGGTTTGATTGCTCCAACACGGTCTTGGGCTATGGAATATGGTCATAATAATGCGATCCTACTCCAATGCTCGTAGTGGCTCAAATAAGTCCGGGAAAATGCTCCAAATCCGCAATGTCCTATAAAACAATACCAAGTCTACGAAAACGGTAGAAAACACATATTAGTAATATAAGTGGCTCCGTAGAGCCAAAAATACTCCAAAATATGACCAAGGGACGGGGTAAATCACTTTATAAAATAGGCATATCAAACTCCCCTAAGCCAAACCTTTGCTTGTCCCAAAGCAAAGAGCTCATCAATGAACAAATAAAACATACTTCACCCCAAAATCAACTAAAACCAAGCACAATCAATTCAAGCTAAGGCAAATCCAACAAATATGCATCAAAGTCAACCAATCAAATCCAGCCAACTACTCATCCACCCTAA